CCTTCAGAACATGGCAGCTGTGGAGGTTGTTCTTTCTTTTCCCTTTTCATGGCGCTGGTGTATATAAACACATATTATATATAGAGTATGTTATGTTTATAGTATAGTATGTATAGAGCATGTTATATATAGTATACTATACATATACTTGTTTCAAAAGATCCCGTTCCCGATGCACTGGTTCGGCCTTGCTGTCAACCATCTTGGCCCCGGCAACACCAAGAATCATGAGACGTAAAGAAGATCGGCAACAATGAAACACATGAAGCCTCTTATATATATATATATATATTTATTTATTTAAATTAGGTTTCATGTACTTACATAATCACCCAAAAGTCTTACACTTACACCCAAGAGAACCCAAGAGAAAAGCCAATAAGACATGTGATTCCTTGCACATGCTGTCCCACAAAAAAGGGAACATATTGTTACTTGACGTTCTGCCATGAAACTGAAAGTAGCACTGGACCTTGACATTAGTCTTAAAACTTGGAACTCAAATCAGGCACAATGACTTTGATAAGACCATCCTGGCATTCAGGAGGCTTAATCAGTGCAAACATTTTTGTCAAAGTGTTGTTCCCTTTTGCTTCTGGTCCAGAACTGGACAAGAAAGAAAACATATTGCTGAACTATAGTTATATCTACTATAAACCATAGCTAAGCCACTTATATCGCAACTTAGCTATATTTGGGGCATTTTTGTGGGGGGTCTTAAATTTGACAAAACTTGCACAGTCGTTAGAGTGCTTATGAACTCGGATACTATGAAAATGACGAGCGTATTGAGACCCTCATCAGATGCCAATCAAGAGTTTTATTTTGTCCCAAAATTGTGGTACAACTTGATGCATTGTTTATACAGAAAAAGCAGCGTCAAGCCACATCTGACCGTGCTACTTCCCCAAAATTTCAGCGGCTACGATCTGACCGTACTCCGCCACCCTGTCGCCCTGTCAGAAGCTCAGCCGCGAGGATTGATGGGTTCGATTGGCTTCGTGTTTTTTTTTGGAGGATTTAAATTGACCACTAAATAATGGTGGGGTTCACATATGTTCACATATTTATCTGGTTGGTGGTTTGGAACCATGGAATTTTTATGACTTTCCATCTATTGGGAATAATGATCCCAACTGACTTTAATATTTTTTCAGAGGGGCTGGTACACCACCAAACAGTTATTGTTTTTCAATGTGTTTTCAACCATGCTAATTGATATGTTTGGGGATGATTGGTTGAGATGACTCATTGGGATAACCACCGCCGAGATAAGTAGAAGTGTCAATTGTTTCAAGTGCCAAGGGGACTTGAATTTCTGTATATAACTTAGACCGATTAGTTGCGCAGAAGATCCAGATTTAGCAACTGGGCCAATGTGGTTGAAACATCGCTGCAACCCTGACGTTGCGCCGCGTCTGGCTTCAGGTGGCTATGAAGATAAAGTTGATGTTATTCCCCCAACAACATATTGTTCATAGGGGGTGGTGAATTTTGATCCCTTATGAAGATAAAGTTGATGTTATTATTACAATACCCCAATCAACATAATCCCTTCCTCCTAATACTAAACGTCCCCCTAATACTAAAAACAGGCATCCATCTCCAATTTCCGAAAATTTCAGTTTGGCCAATTTGACTTTTAATTGATCCCCTTTAAAAAACAATTTAAAAATCAACCTACCATTTGTGGGTTCTCCCCCCTAATACTAAAAACTAGTTCACCCCGGGGTGTTTAGTATTAGGGGGGCCTAGTCCCAATCCCTCACTCCAAGCTGCCTAGCTACTCTAGCAATTAGGGGTAAGCTTCTAACTGCCATTTTTGGCAATATTTTAATTGCGTTATATAAGGAAATTTAATTGATTTTGAGATCGTAAAAAATAGTTTTTAGTATTAAGGGTTTTAATTTAGTATTAGGGGTAAGCTTCGAACTGCCATTTTTGGCAATATTTTAATTGCGTTATATAAAGAAATTTAATTGATTTTGAGATCGGAAAAAATAGTTTTTAGTATTAAGGGTTTTAATTTAGTATTAGGGGTAAGCTTCGAACTGCCATTTTTGGCAATATTTTAATTGCGTTATATAAGGAAATTTAATTGATTTTGAGATCGGAAAAAATAGTTTTTAGTATTAAGGGTTTTAATTTAGTATTAGGGGTAAGCTTCGAATTGCCATTTTTGGCAATATTTTAATTGCGTTATATAAGGAAATTTAATTGATTTTGAGATCGGAAAAAATAGTTTTTAGTATTAAGGGTTTTAATTTAGTATTAGGGGTAAGCTTCGAACTGCCATTTTTGGCAATATTTTAATTGCGTTATATAAAGAAATTTAATTGATTTTGAGATCGGAAAAAATAGTTTTTAGTATTAAGGGTTTTAATTTAGTATTAGGGGTAAGCTTCGAACTGCCATTTTTGGCAATATTTTAATTGCGTTATATAAGGAAATTTAATTGATTTTGAGATCGGAAAAAATAGTTTTTAGTATTAAGGGTTTTAATTTAGTATTAGGGGTAAGCTTCGAACTGCCATTTTTGGCAATATTTTAATTGCGTTATATAAGGAAATTTAATTAATTAATTAACATGACTTCGATTTGGTTCCCTAATAATAAATCCCCCCCTAATACTAAAAACTACCTGCCGTGTTTTGTATTAGGGGGGGGGGTTTAGTATTAGGAGGAAGGGATTATTGTTCATAGGGAGTGGCGAATTTTGATCCCTCATTATGACTTATGAAGGTAAAGTTGATGTTATTACCCCAACCAACATATTGTTCACAGGGGGTGCAAATTTCGATCCCTCATGAAGATAAAGTTGATATTATTGCCCCAACCAGCATATTGTTCATAGGGGGTGGCAAATTTTGATCCCTCATGGAGATATAGTTGCTATTTTTACCCCAATCAACATATTGTTCAGAGAGGGTGGCGAAATTTGACCCCTCATGAAGATAAAGTTGATGTTATCACCCCAGACAACATATGGTTCAGAGGGGGTTGCGAATTTTAATGTGAAGATGATCATGATGTGATGATGTGATGATGTGATGATGATGATGATGATGGTGATGATGACGATAATGATGATAATAATGATGATGATTGTAAGTGTGGAGCAACGTCCGGGTTGGGGCGAACATGTTAAAACAATAACAAACCACCCCATGTTTGATGATTACCACCCATCTATGGTGATTTTGGGGATGGTTTATGTTTGTTTTAACCACATTCTTTCCCTATGACTGCTACATCATGGTGTTTTACAGCTATGTACCATGGACCGGGTCTACATCATGTTTCGAGATTCCAAGACCTCCGGATCCAAAAGCAGTTAAAAATGGTTATAAATTGGGTTGTCATTCCATAAATGTGGTTTTTAACTGATTTATAACTGGTATTTCGGGCCATAGCGGTGTTATCATACACGAACGCATCTAACGCAACCATAAATATTTAACCATATCTAAGCTGATCATGAATGCAGATCATTTCTGTGTCTGCTGGAAAGTACCCCCTGGTAATTGAACAATATTTAACATAGCCATGGAAAATCATAATTGTTAGGCGCCACGGTCTTTCACCGTGGTACGACATGGACATTGTGATTTTGACAGGGCAATTCTTGGACCAACTCTCGTGACAAATCGCAGCAGTTAGGTCCAGTTTCACATGTTCTTTTCACTTGCTTGTGCAGAGGGTTTGTGTTCATAATGAGTTGTCCATTAAAATCAGAACTCCAATGGGCCAATTTCTTGAGGATCGAAAACTTTTCTTTTGGCATGTCCCAATCTAGACATGTTTGACATACAGAAATTATGTTTCATCAAAATATAAAGTTCCGTGTTGTTATCTAAAGCATCACACGTGAAATAGGGAATGAGGTCAAAAACATTCTGTGACCACGATGTTGAATCTGTGGTAGCCATGATCACAGACTGGAGAGCTGTGTTCATCCTTTTGGCAAAGACCCCGATTCTTCCTTCATCAACCGCAATAACAACATAATTACAACAATGTTGATGGTTCAAACAGCATGCACATATGCTAACAAAAATAATCCCCTTGCCAGTGAAAACGACTATTCCGAGGCCCATGCAGGGTATATTATTGCCCCATCCCAATCCCAAACTCTGACCCAACCAGAACCAAATACATGCAAATGATGCATTCGTAGTCTTGAATACTTGAATACCATTGGAAGACTTGGCGGTGGTGCCAATCCACCCGGCGACGACGATGTTTGCCACCTCGAAGAAGTATCCGGATGGCGAGGGAGGTGATGGCCAAGTTCAACGCGGTGCCTCCTCAAGCTCTTGCACTGGATAGCATGGTGAAGATCACAAGGGCCGAAGTGCGCCCAGCCTGGCAAAGGGGAGATGGCAGCATGCCTGAGAATCCGGTTTTTCTCACATTGCCATCGCAAGAGCTGTCCGTGAACTTGGTTCTGGCAAGCGCAAGACGCGGGAGCGGAGTCCTCTGGCTGAACTGCCGCATTCTGCGGTACCTTTGGAAGATAGTGGCTATGGATGTCTACGGGCTCCCAGCCAATGAACAGCAATGAAGAAAAAACATCTTGATTTCCACCATTTTCCACCCAATGGATGGTTGTAGTACCCTCTGGTAAACTAACATAACAATGGAAAGATCCACCCTTTTTCATTGGAAAACTCACTATGTCTATGGCCATTTTCAATAGCTTTTTGTATGTTTACCAGAGCGAATAACTATGGTAATAATCCCAATAAGTTGGGATATGGTATGATATGGCCCCTATTAGCCTACAACTATCTAGAACTATGGTTAATAATATCCACTTATCAGATACTTAATACCATAACGATGTATATTTATAGTACTATGCGGCTTTGCGTATCATATAACTTATAACTATGGTTATTAATATCCACTTATAACTATCTATAACTATCTATAACTATGGAGGGTATGTTGTAGTGGCTCCATGGCTGCCACATGGCTCCATGGCTTCACCGGAGGCCATGTCGCGACGTGAAGAAGTCTGGGAGCGAAAGCGGCAAGCCTTCCTGGCCAGGCGTGGCGATGGCTGGTGGAACTGGCGTGGCTGGGGGGAATTGACCATCAAGGGTGGCGAGTTGAGTCGGGAAATGAGGTCTTTTTGCTGGTTGTTTAAGTTGTTTGGCATGATCATGTTCTACCACCAAATATGGTGTTGAACTAATACAGTACATATACTTAAATGAGGGATAACGAGAGTCTCTTTACTCGTATTACATGGGAGTGATACCAAAGAAACAAAATATGGAATTTGACTAATACTATATAAATTGGGATGGTCATGAATACTGATATGTACATGGATCAAGTACTACTGTACTCATAAAAGCAATGTTCTGTCAATATCAGCATTTTACCGACAAGCATGGAAGCTGTTTGAATATCAACGGTGGGTAAACTATTACTGCTTAACGAACAACAATAAGTGGAGGCTTAACCCGTGGATTGATTTGGATCAGTGAAGAAACTTACGTGCGGTCCGTATATTTACCGATCCGTACGAATAGTTGCTGGGACAGACCATCATTGGAATCATTGGTTTTTTTGGGTACTGTCCCCTATTTTGGGACAAAGACATGTGGGACAAATGGTTTGGAGAAAACAAGAAGATGTGCTGGTGATTTTTTAATCTCCCCAGAGTATCTTACTATTGCTGAAGCCAACATACCAACCAACTGAGATGAAGAACAGAACTGACACCTATCAGGTGATCACTGGATCGAAGCTGGGTGCATCTTGCCCAGCTCTGAAGAACAAAATTGTCCACATGGTGATCTGCAGAAAGCAGTTGGTCCACGGAAAATGTTTCATATGTCTATTGTTCATTCACACAGTAATGAGTTGTGTTCAATCCCTTTGGGAGGGAACACTTCTTGCTGATGGCGTTTATCTCACACAGAAACATGAATCTGTGGCTGAGGTCATATTCACCACTTACATCCGAGACGGAGCACCGTAATATCATGCAATATCAGCTGCCCTAATCGTCGAAACGTTTGAAGCCGGAGGCAGAACGGGGACGCCGCCAGTGCAGTGAGCAGAAACAGTTTGGAAGCCCAGGGTTCTCCTGGGAATTTCACCCCGAAATGGCAGATTTGATTGCAAAAAACGGGGAATTCGACCAAGGCAGGAGTTAGTGTCCAAAAAGAGGAACTTAATCAGGATGGATGACTCAAAAACAAGGTTTCCAGAAAAGGGAATTCATCAAAATTCATCCGCTAATCAGATCCAATCATGCTCGTACTACGTGAAAACATCGTGGACAAGATTTGTTGTGGATGCGCACGGCCGTGGTTTGATACAACAGATAAGTCACATAAGGATGGATATGTCTAGAGGTTTATGGCGTTGCAAAGCCTAGTTTTTTTCTTTTAATAAAATTTCGAATCATGCTGGTTGGTGGTTTGGAACATTTTCAATGTTTCCATATATTGGGAATAATCACCCCAACAAACTAATATTTTTCAGAGGGGTTAAAACCACCAACCTGCATGGGTAAGACGATGCAACATGATGCAACCAGTTCACGATGGTCATCTTCTACACGCCTGGGTCCACCCTGGCGTCCACCAAAAAACACATGGAATTATGAGACTTCGAGATATGTCCCGGGATTAGCTCGTACCATTGCTGTTTTGTCGTAGTGGATGAGCTTTTGCCTTTCAGAACTGCATGTGCCAAAGCGTTATGTTATGATAATGTATGTTGAACTGAACAGATTCTGATATTTTGGTCTTGGGTGAGCATATGCCTTGCGGTGCTGTTCTTCCGTACTTGTAAGCTAAAGTAAACGAACCTGTATGATAGACATGGAAAGGCCATGAAATTCCATGGTTTCCCCATGGTATCATCTTCAAATGATGAATTTTCCCATACATTATCATACGATATAATACGTATACTTTGATAATATATATATATATACATACTAGTACACATAATATAATATACATTGATGTGTGTGTGCAACTGACTTGGCTCTTCAGCGAAACACATGCAGGAAAGCCTTCATTTGCTGGTAGACATTTTGAACAGTGGTTTCTTAGATTTTGCTTACCCTCTGGTAAACTAACATAACTATGGAAAGATCCACCATTTTTAATGGGTAAATCCACTATTTCTATGGCCTTTTTCAATAGGTATTTTGACATAACCAGAGGGTAACTTCAACGGTCGGTAGCATTTGATACCACAAAAAAGGTGATCTTCTCAGGTGGTGTTTCTCGAGTACGCGGACCCGCCGGACCTGGCGTTCAAGGCAGGAAACATCCCGGAATCTGTTGGTGCTGACAAGCCATAAAAGCTGCCACGGATCAAGGGATATGTCTAAACCACAACTAGTTAGTTCTTACTTAAGGCAATATCTAAGTATTTTTTTAGTGGTCTCTGAATCAATCCTTTGGTAAAGCCTAAATACATTGATGATCATTGATGTTTGTAATCCTTTTCCTGAATCCATAGGCCGCGGTGGAACGTATTGGATCTGAGGTCGGTACCTTGGAGGAATGGCCGCTGGATGAATTCAGAAAGGTAGCGTTGTGCCTATGCCATCTATGCGCTGCAGCTCCGTTCAGACTCAGACAGAGAGGCGGGACCAAAACTGGACACAAACAAAAATGTATACAAAAAAACTGCACACCAAGACTCAGGGAGAGTTTGAAGCAGCCAGCTGTTTTTTTCCGAAGCCTTCCGCTGCAGAATGGAAGGGAGCGGAGCCTTGGAGCCTTTGTGATCTTGCAAAGGCCCGCAGCGTGATGTGCCCACAACAGCGCCCCTTTGCAGGTAATTTGGATACGCGCCCACTTTTGGGCATGGATTGGGCATGAGCGGGACAAGGCTGGCTGACTTCGTTTTATAGAGCGCGTCTCCCGTTTCCCAAGATTTCGAGGAACCCACAATAAACCTGATTTGGACAGCTTGGTGCACAATAATTATGTTGTTCCCAAGTTTGATCTCGTGAAAGCACAACCTCACACTTGATAATAGCTGGTTCATCTTCTCAACTCTGTTGCATCTAACTAAGAACATGAAACAACCTACTCCAATATAATTAAGTTATGATATTGGTATGATAGGTAATTACATGATTCTAGCTCCAAGTTACGCAAATTCAGAAAATTTACCTATATCATGAATCCATCGTACTCCAGACCTGTCTCTTTGGACCCATGGCTTTCCCAACCTGTTTCCCTGTGTGTGACATGTTTCACACCTGTGAATTGACTGGTTGCGGTGGGAAGACCTTTCAGCTCGATTTGGAAATTGTTTGGCACCATGTCCATGCCTTGTGTTGTTCCTGAAATGCTATGGAGCCTGGATGAGCTAAAGCGTGCCCTGAAGTAGGAGAGGGTTTCAAAATATTGTGTGACTTGTTTGTTGAATGGGCTGAAATCCTGTTAAACTACAACAGCCAGCATCCGCTCTGTTGTTGAATTTGGGGAATTGTGGCCCAGAATCCTTCTCTCAGGGGATTTCCCGCCGCGCATACTCATGTGGCATCGCACTCGAGGAGTGTCATCGCACTCCAGAGGACCCCATCGCACTCCACATATACTCACAGATCTTCGTACTCCACAAAAGGCATAGTATACCAGAAAAACCGTCGCATACAGCCAAAAACCATTTTGTTTGAAAAAATGAACCTGAAGATGTGTTTTTTTCCTCTTCGGAGGTAAAATGCTCTGGAATATGATAATATGGAATATGGGGGAAATCGTTGTTTTTCCAGCGTTTTGAAGAGTCGCGCATACAATCGTATTCCATCAAATTTTGATACTTTAGACCTGTGGAGGCTATGGAAATCCTCGGTTGTGGTGCTAGCCGTGCAGGATGGAGTGTGATGCTCTCTGGGTATATGGAATGGAATTTCTGACCCCCATTTGATCAAAAAAGATGTCAACATATGCGTGAGAATCCCACAACGCATACCAGGGGGGCATCGTACTCCAGGGGTGGCATCCTACTCAATGTAAATGTATTCAGTGGAAATATGGTACCATTTGGGTTCGAGGAAGAACAGCGAAATCCAGACTTGGCCCAGTTTGCGGATGCCTGAGCCGCCAGCCAAATGCGTCAAAAAAATAAGCTGAACAGCTTATCCAATGGTCTTAAAAGATCCCATAGAGAAGTTGATGATTGATGAGAGAAACACAAGATTTTGTGTTTATTCAAGAAATCATTGCTTGAGAAGCTGTGGACTCAAAGGATCTTAGCGGAGTTAAACATGTGCGATTGGACATGACAGCACGGTCACACAACCTCATTCTCACCATCAAAGGTCGTTCATTGTTTTCCAAACTTCCGGAGCTATTTTAGCATGGAATATGAACAGCCTTGGAATATGGGTAAGATTTTGCTAGAATGATAGCTAATATTTATCATAACTAACATTATGCTATCGTATACTTATGATAAGTAGCTTCTCCCAATCCACTTGAATGATAGCTCCAGCGTCTCGAGTCACCCAGCGGGATGTAAATAAAATTGACAGTTGATAACCATTTAGAAAGCACTCAAGGTTTTGTATGTTTTTCCTTGTGTTTGTTTGGTATCTTGAAAACACAACATATAAATCTATATAATCCTATAAACAATCTATTTTAATCTCAATGATTATATAACCATATGGACAAATGATAATTATAAAAACATATCAAACTCCAAATCAAAAGAACCCATGCAATAATCTCAATGGTTTATACATATTTGCATATATGAACACGACCTCACGTAGCGATGTCCCTGGAAGGATGGAAATTGTAGCGATAGCTATTCCAAAATAGGCTATCATATTTCAGACTAGTGTTAGTGAAATATAATCATTTACCCAAATGGCTGTGGGACAAAATGCATGGCCCAGCGGAGCAGATTCTGTTCATTGACAAAAAAACATCCAGTTTTAGGGATATCTACTTTTGCCAAAAATACCCAGATATGATGGTCCATGTTGCATACCCATTTGGGGAGTCGAAATTACAGACCTCGGGGACAACAGATTTTTTTGTCATCTTCGGTCTAGTCTTTTTAGTTTTAACTGTATTAACCATCCAATTTAATTGGGGTACCCTATTTTGGATCCATACCGTAGTTCGATCAGTCCCAAATAGGTTGCATCCCCACGGAAATCCCATGGAAATCTCGAAATCCCATGAAATCCACCATTAAAAGAAGTATGGTATGGTTTAAATGGTATCCCCTATTATGGTTTTAAATCCATTTCATGGTGGATTGATATGGATTTATACCATATACCATTGTTTTAAATCCACCATTTTTGAAGGTGAAGTTGCCATGTTCCTATGGTTTCCTATGGGTTTTCCGATGGTTTTCCTATCACTTCACGAGGTGAGCCTCGGGCCTCCTCACCCTTGTCGCGCCTGGTTGGGAGACCTGGGAGAATCTGGGAGACCTGGAGACCGGCTGGCGGAGACCCGTGGCGGCCGTTTAGGCTAACTGGGAAAACTGGTGAAAACACATACCACCCTAATATCAATAATACATATATAAATATTGTAATGAGCTGATTTTCATGCATTTTTTTTAAAAATAAAACTATCATAGTTTTGATCATTTCATGGATAAAATTTATATCACATATGACCATTGTCAATACTTTTGGGGTCATCATGACTAACAGTAATAATTATTGGACCTATTTTTTATTGTCAGGGTGAATAATTAATGATATTCTATCCAACAACACAACAACAATGCTACTAATTACCAATACCAATAGTAATCATTTCGGACAAATGTAACCTAACATAACCCAACAACAACAATACACCATGCAACAAGATGATCATCACATGGGACGATTGCAGGGTAAATATAATTTGGAATATGTAACTTTATCCATCTTCAATAAGAATCATCCACCAGAACTCATAGAATAATCTCGGATCTGTCATGATGGTTTTGGACACTGTACAGTGTGGGCTCCACAATGCCACAACTGTGAACCGAAACAGGAGGCTATGAAACGTTGGGATCGTGCATAGAATTGCCGGTTTGATGTCAGATATGTATTGAAAATATGACCTGCGTTTTTCTAGGTGAACGAAACGTGTATAACAAATGAATGATAATCAGCATATTATCATATATTATCATAATCATCATATATCATAATAACAACAATAACCAGCACAGAAAATAACGTTTATGTTATCATATATGAAGATCATGGTTCTATAAATATATACATATTGTTATCATAATCAAAACAACAACTATGGTAGACTCCAGATGGTTAGACTCAAGATATTCTTAGTTGAATAATCACAATATTCATGATATATCATAAGAATCATAATCAACACAAGAACATGAATATTAAACAAAAAAATGTGAAGGTAAACTTCAACAAGATTCATTTATCATCACGATTATTGCAACAACACAACTGGTTGGTGGTTTCAAACACTTGTTTATTTCCCATAACATATGGGATAATCCACCAACTATTGACTAACTCATATTTTTCAAGATGGTTAAAAGTTAAACCACCAACCAGACATAGTGTGGTAAATCAATGATCAAACTATATCAAACTCCAATTTTGGTTCGTTTTTACATCACCTATCTTTTACAACAACACAATCATAAGATCAAGACATGGTGAATCTCCAGCTTCGTTCGCCGAGACCCAGGTGGACGAGGGTTTCCCCGAGACGGCTCTGCCAACGCAAGGGACGGACAGCAGGTGGGAAACTGTCGAGAAATCGCCAACGTCGGGAACTGGATCCATGGAACTTGGAAGGATTTTCCAGAGTTTGTTACCCTCTGGTAATTTGTTACATAGCTATTGAACATGGCCCATTTATAGTGGATTTACCCATGAAAAATGGTTATTTTCCATAGTTATGTTAGTTTACCGGAGTTTGTTATGTTTTTTTTTCCCGGTAAACATGGTAAACCTCACTGAAAAAATGCCATGAATTTCCCAGTCAACGCTTCCGAGTTTTTCCATGAAATCGTCATTTGTTGAAGATTAAATCCTCTGGGATTAACGGGAAAAGAACGGGAAGATATACTCCTAATAATATACATGATACTGTATATAGCATCATATATCAGGGGATTGGCAGCCATATCTGTGTTTTTTAACCATCAACTGAAACAAGTATCCTTTTGAGATGATATCCGATTCTTTTGTGATGTAAAAAAATGGGACATTCACTAACCCCTGTTAAGTTACGCATAGAAACTCAACTGTTTTTTCCTCTTTTCTTTCACATGAACCCAGCTTTGGTGATTCCCACAACTAAGACATCGAGCCCGAGCCTGTTGTGCGGGGCTATTCGAGTGAGGTCAACTGTTGCGGATTGCGGAGAGATTTTGATTTGGGTGTGTCTGAAAATGGGGTATACACCCAAATGCCAATGGTAGAGAAAATGATGATGAAACAATGGGTTTAGAGGCACCCTACATTGAACAATTCTCAGACAAAGCCACATGATTGTTTGCTCACGGCCTGCTTGGCTGGCAAAATTTTCCACTCGCTTCGTTGGAGCAGATCTGGTGCACTGCCGCATTGGAACTTTCAGCTACAAAATTGTCATGTGACCACTGGACAACTTCTGATCAGGGCCGGGTCCAAGGTGAGCGTTGCTATTTGTCATTGGTTCATACCTGCACTATGTCCCAATCATTGAGATGGAGGTTTACAATCGCTACGCAAGGAAGGAGCAGAGTGAGGAAGAAGCCTCAAAGGAAGATGGGCATGTTTTTAAATTTGGGATCCCATTTCTCTATGTCTTGCTGGTGGGATTGGTAGCAGTTGATTTCTCTTACGGATAGGCAATGATGCCCTCACCGGCACTTTGGGTCAAGGCTCCGACTTCGAAATACGACTCGAACCATTAACGATATAACTACCTGATCGATTGGGGTATTGGGGATGATGATGACCCATGACAAGAATACCAATTTACCAACCAATAATGTGTTGTAGCTAGCAAAAATAGGCCCGGTAAGGCCCGGTTGGCTCTTGAGTCAAGCTCAAATGTGCCCCCATTCTGGGAAATGGTCGGAATGAAAATTTTGATGGCTCAATTGAGGGCCTAGGTATGCCTGATATTGTCCCAAAGAAAACATGGAATCTTACAGAATGCGTAATTCTAGCAAACTACCTGATATTTTCAAGATTTATATATAGCAAATGATACTACAATGTACATTATATATATATATATATCATATAATACATTTATATATATATATATCACAATATATATGTATATATATATATATTAATATATTTATATATATATATTATATTATATTATATTATATTATTATATATACATAATATTATATATATACATAATATTCTATATATATATACATAATATTATATATATATGTTATGTTCATTACGATATTATAATATATGCATGATATTATATATATATTATATTATAATACAAGTACTATACATATATATATATATATATATATTGTAGATAATAGTATATTAGTAATATATATATATATATATACATACACAAAATATGGTCTATTTTTTATATCTTGTTCAGCTCTACAACACGCTGGCCACTTGACCTGTAGGCAATATGGCATGCAAGCCTATGCCCAGGCGTGAGCCATGCTCGAGCCACGACTGTTGTTGCCGTACTTGGGTGAATATATTCTTGGTGATGGATCATATAAAATCATATAAATCCCCAGTTATAAGTTGGTTTATGAGCCCCAGTAACTATAGTTATAATATGCCCTATGGATCCAGCCGTACCTTCTTAGGAAGTACGACTGGGGTATGATGACTAGGGGGTTAAGTACCTTCTCAGACAGTGGCCATGGATCCATAGGGCTCGATAATGTGGGATGCGTGGTGCTTGAGTACTTGTTTCTATTATGTTGCTTGAGTAGTTACTTCTATTACTTTCAAAGTGTTACTTATGTTACTTCAAAACCAAGTTGAGTGTGTCTTACTTACTTGTTGAGTGTGGGATGGGTCAAAACCTATGAGATTCGCATGTTTTGGGGAACACACATCACACATCCAGCTCTACCGGCTATTTTACTATAGGGTAGGGTCCCAGGGTTTTGACTCATAACCAGGTTCATCTATCTTTCTATAGTTAGTGTTTAGTTACTTAACATGGGAATAATGGTGATAATATAAGAGTACAAACCACTTCAAGCAACCATGCTATGTGTATAATATACATACATAGTGTGTCTGAAAATGGCTTCTTTACCCGTTAATCTATGGCAATTGTACGGGAAATCATGAGAAAACATGAAATTTTATGGTGTTTTATTGTCAGTGTTTTCCACATGGATTCATGAAATTTCGGGGGTCAGCAAAAAAACAGGTCAGGGATTTTTTTGGTGACCTTGAATTTTTTTGCTGACCCTGACATGAGGGTTTCATAAAATGGTGGTACCCCAATAGCTGGATAGTTTATAATAGAAATCCATAGTTAGCCAACTATATGGGGGTTTCCATAAATGGGGGATCACCAAAATGGATGGTGTATAATGGAAAATCCTGTTAAAATGATTTAAACTGGATGATTTGGTACCCCAATTTCAGGAAACCTCCAATTGAAACTCCCAAATGTGTCGGAAACAACTTCAAACAACTACTCCCAACACAGCTTTCTGGATGAAGCTAAGGCTAAGCCGGTTTTCTCCTTTCTCAAAGATTGGATTGGATATGCAAGCATGGTTGCATAAATGATATCCCAATGCATGAACTGTTGCAGGCAGGGTTAGAGTATAGATTCTGCATGCAGTACCTACAGGGATTCTAGTCATACACTTTGGTTTGTTTGCCATGTTTTCAATGATTAAATAGTTAATCAGTACCCTCTAGTTTTTTAAGATGGCTATTTTGCAACCACGTTCGATAACCAGAAGGTATTATCCCATGTTTGGTGCTTACATTCCATTAATCCCCTTATCCTGCTTGTCCTGGGCAGCTAAGCTTGGGCTTTCGCCAACCACAAGGTCCATTCTGGGACGACATGCGGGGGCACTGACTGACCCATTTACAATCTACAGTCGCGACCTGGCTATTGCCCCTGCGCCCGAGGGTTATTGGATGGTATCCCCATTTTTGATGGTTAACTCCCCGAAGTCGTTGGTTGGTCAATCCCACAATCCCATTGAATCCCCATATTTTCTCACCAACCGTCGCCAACGGCAGGGTGGCTCCCGGCCCAACAGCCGACAGCAACAGCCGCAGCCTGCCGCGCCAGCGCAGCAGGCGCATCCCGAGCCGTTTGGGATTGGAATACTATACTGGAGGTACATCCCAGGAATCGTAAGTGGTTCATAATCCATATCTTCCTGAGGTATTTCCCAGGTATATATATAATTATGTACATCACTTATGTGATTTGGTTATTACCCACTTAGTAACCTAAATCAAAGTACTATGGATGTGGATCGATCTGCAAAAACCCGAACCGATTGGAAGTTTTCACAAAGAAAAAAACACAACCCAGGTATCACAAGACCATGGCCAGGGCTCAAACATTTGTTTTGCCACCTCTAATCACCATTCTTTAGATTTATTTGTTATTTGGGGTTGTCCAAGCACTGGGTACACCAAAATCTCATTAGTTCTTTTGTCCAAGCACCGGGCACACAAAAAAAAATAAAATTGAGGCACGCTATTTCCGGACAAAGGCATATATGGATATATATGGCATATATCATCTTGGTTGTATATCTCACTACATCCCAGGACGCATATCCCAAGATTTCATGGGATTCTTTCCTCACCCAAAGTCGGCTTCAGATTCGCAGCAATCTTCACAAAGCCGACCATTGTTGGGAGGTGTCCTAGGACCTCGCTGTACAGGTTGGGTTTCACAGTGGCGTTGCTCAAGAGTGGCAAGGGAGCCTGGTGGTCTTCGGTTCCTAGTTTTCAGTGATTGTTGATGTTAGTCCTGCCGGTAAAACTTGGAAACAGTTTAGCATTTTACAATATTTGACATCATTTTACTATTTTGAAAGAAATGGTGATATTTACTGGCTAGCTAAGTTAGGATCTTTCTGGGGATCCCCATGATTGTCTTTGCTTTGTCTCTGCTTAAACATGATTCCCCTCATCATGTTTGGGGTTGAGACCAACCAGTTATGGGTTGACATATGTGATATACCATATCTATCTATCTGGGTAAATTTGATCACGACCTCACTGTTCTCCCGAACCCTGGAATCATGGTTTATTTTAGGGAAATCATCCCCTTTTATGGCCGCAAGATTCAGGGTAGTGAAATATTATAATTTACCCAGATCTATGTGATATACCCAGTTATATGTGCGATACCCCCCACGGAATGGGGACGAAGGGTGATCCTCCAATTAGCGTCTTGGTCTTGGCAGTCATCGCTAGACAAAGCCACTTGTGCACTTGACTTAAAGCCACCAGGACTAGATCCATTTATCAATCACACAGAGTCAGAATCTGCCACATGTTCACCTGCATTGTGGAACTGCCATTCTTCAAAGCATTGCTTGGCCAAGTCACACCCAAGTCCTCTGCGGAGGAAGAAAAGCAAAAGGAAGTCACCTAGTACAGGGAGGAGACTAAATCCGAACTGTACAACCATGCATTAACCATTAAGTAACCGTCAACTTGCACCTTGCAAAGCTTTTCTTGAATCAGATCCGAAAACATACTAAAGTGAACATCGGACAAGGGTAAATTCAGATGATGGAGGCAGACATGAGTCCTGCAATGTGGTACCACAGGGTAATGTTGTTGTTCAGGCCTCCTTGATGGTGTTTCCGATTGTTGGGTATGAATCCCATATGAGTACCATTGAATGCCTATAGGTAGTTTGAGCAGGGGGCACTACCCCAGAAATAGAAAGTGAGATTAAATCAGAAAGTGCCTGTGTGAACTTCGTGAGCACCCATCAATACCCAGCTCTTCGAGTTGTAGGGAACATTGGTGGTATTTGAATGTATTTTATTTGAGGCTAAAGCATGGTTTCAGCCTGGTTTCCGTTCAAATCTCCGCAGAATGCATCCATCGAAACGAAACATTTCGGTCAGCACCAAGCCTCGACCATCGCCATGGCTGCGGCTACTTCCACCGAAAGGAGTTCTTCTACACAGGAGCGGTGGCTCAAATTCATATCCATTGGCATGGGGATTCTACATCTAAAAAATGTGGAGCTGGAGCTGTCCAATTTCCATTTTGTGACCTTGAAATGTACAATGTCACAATGTCTATACAATTTCCGATTGAAGTGGAGATTTCAGATGCGAGCTTCACCGAGAAAAACCTCGGACGGACTTGGCCATTTTTGCGGGGGCTTCTCGGAGCCAAGTGAATGTCAACAGTTATGGCCATGGCTAGTTGTTATACCTGGTTATTTCAGTGGGATTATACATTCTATAAATGGGGTAACTGAATGAGACACGACAGTCTCTTAATCTTCTCAAAACATCAAAAAACTCTGAATGTGGTATGTTTTGAAATGCCCCAACTTGAACATGTCACCACTGTAGTCACCAGCTGCCAGACTTAGGACTTAACCATGACTTACCCAGTGTAGATGCATCCTGTGCATTTGAAATCACCTGCCCATGCAGGAGGAAAGTTACACCAATCCCATTGCCACTAGGCTGCCAAAAAAAGGTGTGGACGGAGTCAATAAGCTTTCAGGATCATGCACTTTGCGGTTGTGCAAGAAAAATATGACCATTGTGACCATGGATCGAAACCTCAACGCTACCAACGCTTTCACATCTTTTCACATCAAAATAGCTGGTGCCCGATGGATGCGTGTGCCCCAGATAGTACCAATCCGTTGTACCTGTGATGACATTCCCAAGCCGAATCGAGACTGGGCTTCCTGGGCTTCACAAGAGGTTTTCCATGTGATACCATGTGCCATGTTGCTGTTCTGAAAAGGCAGAGGTTACACGAATCAACATGTTGCCGTAAGGATATGTACATCTCTTTAAAGGTATTTTTTTAGGGTTTATGTGGTTTGAGATGTGTTTGTTTCCATACTTGCCAGGTGAGGGTCTCTAGCCTTTAGCAAAGATGTAAGTTAACTCTTCCTTCTCCTCCTCCTTCTAGATGCAGTGGAGCAGGCCGAGCATACCCGAGCCATATCGCAAGCTCCGGGTGCAGTGGAGCACCCGTGGACAGGAGCAGAGACCAGAAAGTAGAATGTCAGAATGCCAGATAGAATGTCAGAAGATATGTCAGACTGTCAGGATAGAATGTCAGAATTTATGTTAGATAAAATGTCAGATGCCAGATAGATCCAGATAGAATGTCAGAATTTATGTTAGATAAAATGTCAGATCAAATGTCAGATAGAATGCCAGATAGACTGTCAGAACATATGTTGGATAGAATGTCGAAGAGTTCGTCATTCTCCCATCCTGATCAATCGGTTTTTGTTGATCCTCGATGATCTGTTTGGTTCAGGAATGGTGGCCCGAGCACCAACTATATCATACTATAGATTACTACTATAGATCAGTTGTTCCCAGAAAACAAATCCAAGAGTTCTGACCACGGTATGATTTTAGTGATCAATTTATTTAGACGCAACCACCTGATACAACCTGAACTTGAAACTAGTCGCCTCTTAATTCGGATCATGATCAAACATCTACTCGCTGCTATAATATGCGTGTTTATTGGTTGATCATATACTTTTTATGCACCGAAATTCAACCACCCACATGGTAAGCTGCTTTAATCACGTGAAATCCCTGCTGATTGATTGTTTTATGGGCGTATAATGGCCTACACTATGTGGGGCGGATGTATTCTGCCAATCTACTATGTTAACACCAATCAAATCGTATTCTTTGGTAGTCGAAATGGCAACTGGTCATGCTCCGTTTGCTGATGATGTCCTGTTTGGGTGTGTCTCCAAATGTGAGTATACCGTTGCACCTCAAAATGACCGTAAATTTATTAGGGGACATGTTTGTTTGCTTTCAATCAAGAGATTTTGGGGAAACTCGGAAACTCCGTTGATAGACATGCCCATATTCTCCAGATGCTATCATAACTCTACTTTGAAACATATAGTATCTGGATATATGGTATCAAAGTTGCCCAAATTAGTATATTAATGCCCATGTGTCTATATATGCCCATGTGTCTATATATGCCCATATTAGTATATTAATTTACCAACACTTGTACTATGTTACTATACCATGTGTCTATTGACCATCCTCAAAGTGTTTTTCATGACCAAGCAATGCAAATAATTTAGAAGTACAAGATTTGTATATATACATATATATATATACATATACGTATAATTACGTGTGTATATATATATATATATGTAGGAATAAATTTGAACGACCTTGACATCACTGGAATGATGATTATGAGAGGTATACATCTCAAAACAACAAAACAAACATATTTCAGGTTTGTGAATTATTGTAGTCTATTCAGAACATATACATACGTATAGACATATACATTTATATACATATATATATAGACATATATATATACATATATATATATAGACATATATATAAATATATATTATGATGAAACATATCATATATATATATATACAAATATCATCACTACTTATATTTGGGATTGTACATCCCGATGTTTTTGGGTGACGCCTCCACAATTCCCAGGTGCCTGGAGACTACCCCGATCCCGGCGCCAACAAAATCGGAGATCACTTCTACTTGGTGGCCACGGGTGGTGGACCCAAAGGAGAAAACTTGGGTGGACTTTTTGCGTTGATTTGTTACACATAATATATATATATATACAATTATTTGTTCATTTATTTATTTGATTTTATTTGTTTATTGAAGTATTTGAATTTATTTGTTTATTTATGTTAACTATTTGCGGATGTATGGATTAATAATTCATGAATAGATGTATGTATATATATAATATACATATATATATAAATACATGTAGAGGTCTGTTTGCAACCTAAATCAGACTGTTTCATCTATTTTGGGGATACCATCCATTTTCAGGCAACCCCAATCATATAGGTTCTGGAAATCAAACAATATGAGTCAATTTCCAATTTCCTTTTGGTTGTGTTTTTTAACATGCAATTTTGTGTTACTTGGTTTGGCACGCAACATGCCGGCCTTTAGTATCCGCAACATCAAATATCCCATGCATGAATATATCCCACTACAGTCTATCCCTGCATACCTTTGGTTTTCCGAATGGGAAATCCATGATTTTGGGAATCCATCGTTTTTTGTTGGGGGGGAAGCCCCTTAGGCAAATGTGAGCAAGATTAGCTGGTTGGTGGTTTCAAACATTTTTTATTTTCCACATGGGACAATTTTTCCCATTAACTAATATTTTTCAAGATGGTCAAAACCACCAACCATCTATCGTTCTCCAATAAACTATGGTTCTCCAATAACCATCATTAACCATCATTAACCATCATAAACCATCATTAACCATTATTAACCATCATTAACCATCATTAACCATCATTAACCATCAGGTTAGTGTCATGTTTTGTACGTGGAGCATTTGGGATTGCTGTGCCAGGAGCTTTTCGCATCCTGCGGTCTCCGAACCTGATCCACTGGGAGCCCTGTGGGCAGGCGCCCTCGGGCGAGATCGAGGCATTTTTTTCCGTGGTAGCTGTGGAAAACCCGCCATTTATAGCACCTAGGCACCTACACAAGAAATGTGATTTTGGGGATGATTTATGAAATTGGGTTTACCACATTTAAGAAAATTTGACCAACAATAAATTGAATTTCAAGCATTTTCCAACAAGAACCTGGACAAATCGAGTACCAGCCAAACAAGCCTACTATTGGGGATCTCACCTGCTCATGGGCTACCCTTTCCAAAAATTGTTTGGGTGCTGTTTCTTGATGTTCAAACTCATTTTTTGGATGTAGTGATTCTATTGACAATCGTGATTTTAACCGTGACTGCATGGGGTAAGGCGCTCTTGCTGCCATTCATTTCAAGTCAACCGCCATGCAGCCTCCATCCACTTGCGTTGGATGTGCTTGTTGCTGAGTTCAGGTACATTTGGATTTGGAGGACATAATGTTTTTTGAACAACAGTAAGCTTGCTTCAACCCACAAAATGTGCAAAAACAGTATATCCTTTCAAACCATATCAGTATGTTTCACATAAAATTATATATAAACCTACACATTATCATTTTGAACGAATATAATATATATATATACATATACACACTAAACATATATTTCTTATGTTTCCAACATGATCTTTAATCATATTTAAACATATCATAACATATCTAAAGAATGATTTCTATGATGCATTTGCCATTTGAAGTTGAATGCCCTGCTGTTTTTTTGTTTCCGCAACATAGGTCTTTGGGCCGGATACTGTGCCTTCGTGGAGCGGTGGAGCTCATGGCCAGCGCGGGCATCCAGTTTTGGACCTGGGTTCAAGAAAAAGATGTTTTGCAACCCCGTTACTGAAAAAGACCGATGATGCGAAAAAATCTATGTTTTGTAGTTGTAGAAACATGTATGTTTATATGTAAAATTTTGATGAAAAATCAAGTTTGACTGTGGACCATGGTGTTCGGCACTTTGGAAATTACTACGTTTGGGTTTCATGAAGGTGCCCTGGGTTTAAACAAAACGGTCACTCCGACCGGAGGCGACCCCGCCGGAGTATGTCTTTCAATATCAAATGCAAAGCGTTCATAAACATTCTCTGACAACCTTTTGTTGCATGAGTCCCGGTTTCTATTTGTTTATCCTCCACACCACTGGGGCCCAACATCTTGGATTTTGTTTGGCCAACTAACAAGGAAAAGGTGACAAGACGTTGAGTTAAAATTCCTATTCTTAGGAGTCTTAGGAACATCTTTAATTGAATACAACTGACAAAAATCAAAATTCAGATACTACCAAAAAAGTGCATTTGGTGGGAAAACAATCCTAACTAGCCCTGAATTTTTGGTTCCAGTTTAATATGTGTTTGTGTTTTTGTTTACAAAATGGTAGCATGTGCGTTTAATTTTCATTATTTGTTATTTTGTTCCAACAACGTTTTTTGTCCAATTTAGTGGGATGGAGAATTCCCACCAAGAGTTCACGGATCATCCAAGGACATCGTATGAAGTTCAGCTCACTTTGTTTCGTTGGTGGCGAAAGTTTCTAGTCGTCTTTTGACCACAAACCAACCCTCAAGACCACCCCAGACATGAAACTGATATTGGCCAAAACTCTTAGTGAAAATAACTCCCCGAAAGGATCCGAAAAGTGTTTCCAGCCGATTTACAGATGATCTGGTTGGTGGTTTAATATTCCTAACTTTTTCAGAGGGCTTGAAACCGCCAACCAGTGATATTTACTCCATATTTCCAGGTGTCCATTTTTTCCATTTTTACAAGTTTGGGGTTACCCTACATCGCCATGCTGGATCGAGACATTATATCATTTGTTACATGACATCCCTTTTTTCCCACGGTTAAGTTGCCATTGTACCTTCAAAGTTACTACACTTCTGGCCCGAAATACCAGTTGTAAATCAATGAAATAACCTCATGTATGGAATGATAACCCCATTGCTATCCATTTGTAACATGTTATAGTAAAATCCCATGAAATCCCCATGACTATAGCTGGTTTTTTACTCGGGCTTGAACTCCATGTTTCCTGCACAGAAAAAACCGAAACACCCCGGCAGGTCATGTGACTACTGGGCACCAGAAATTCATCAGTGCCTCGACACTTCGACGGTTTCCGTCATGTGATCCTGGAAGAGCTACGACTGGATGACTGGTGGTGACTGGAACCATGGAATTTTCCTGGTTAATCTATATGGTTAATCTATATGGTTAATCTATTTGGTTAATCTATATGGTTAATCTATATGGTTAATCTATATGGTTAATCAATATGGTTAATCTATTTGGTTAATCTATTTGGTTAATCTATATGGTTAACCTATATGGTTAATCTATATGGTTAATCTATTTGGATAATCTATATGGTTAATCTATTTGGTTAATCTATATGGCTAATCTATATGGTTAATCAATATGGTTAACCTATATGGTTAATCTACATGGTTAATCTATATGGTTAATCTATATGGTTAATCTATATGGTTAATCTATATGGTTCATCTATTTGGTTAATCTATATGGTTAATCTATATGGTTAATCTATTTGGTTAATCTATATGGTTAATCTATATGGTTAATCTATTTGTTTAATCTATATGGTTAATCTATATGGTTAATCTATGGTTAATCTATGGTTAATCTATATGGTTAATCTATGGTTCATCTATATGGTTAAGCCATGATTAATCTATGGTTAATCTATGGTTAATCTATGGTTAATAATGGTTAATAATTGGAATATCTGGTTCATTGAAATAGTGGATTTACTCATTGAAAATGGTGATTTTCCATAGCTATCACTGGGTAGTTGGTTGCTGGTGACTGGAACCATGGAATGGATTATGACTTTCCAGAAACAGTTGGGAATGAATCATCATCCCAACTGACGAACTCCATCATTTTTCAGAGGGGTAGGTTGAAACCACCAAGCAGTTACTGGTACCCAATTATTGGAGAAATCCACTCACTTAGTGCCATTGAAAAATTGTCCTTGTTGATGTTTTTTTGTTGGGACTACTATACACCTGATTTATTTGATTCTAGTTGGAGATTATGATGGGCCATAGTAGGGAAACCGTTTTCAACCAACTGGTACAATCAAATGGGAAAACGGGGTATTTTTAATGGCTCAGGTGCTATATGGTATAAATATTGTGTATGTGTATTTGCAGATCTATACACAATATATATATATATATAGTATTACTATTATTACTATTATTCAATATTGGCTGTTAGGTGATGTGATGTATTTATTGTAGTATACTGTACATTTCATGATATCAAAGTTCAGTACATTATTTTTTGTTTCTTATGCAGCCGTTTTGAAACAGCGGTGGACACCTCTATGTTCCAGACAGTTCCAAGGCCCTGGAACATCTCAGGGGTCATCCCATGTGAGTACCAGTGATGGGGATAGCAGGGAGTTTTTACAACATTTGGGTATGGATCAATACCTATACATACCATTTTTAGAGGGATGAACATCCATTTACCAGCTATTTTGATGTGAACTACAGGGGTACAAGGTTTTGACATACTGCCATTTTAGGCCATGGAAATCAATGAAAGTTGTTACTTGTTCACCGAGGTTTTTGTGCCTTTTGCATCTGCCATGTTTTACGAAACCTTCCTTAGCGCGAAACTATGTGGCTATGCCCGGGAATGCCTTAAAGTGTGTGCAATCTCATGCTTCCCAGCCGGGAAGTGGCCCGTCTTTCAGCCAACAACGTTGATCCGTTGATCCGTTTTTTAGGCCCTTACAGGGAGGTTATGCTTGGGAGGATGGGATCAATATATTCATTCCAACCACCCGACGAAAATGGGATACTTGTCAGGCTATTTTTTGTTATTAACGACTGACGAATTGAACCATATTTCCTATATCTATTCCATCCACATCATGGTATCAATTCCTAGCTGCCTAGCTATGCCTAGTTCAGTTCTTTCAAAACCAAATGATATACATATATATATATACATATCCACCAATCATGCCAATCCTGCTAATCGATGTTTCCCTCGAGACTCAGACGCGATTTGCGTCCACTTCCAAGGCTCCCCGGTTGCGTGGCAGTATTCTTCAGCACCAGAGAACCCAAGGAAGTTGGCAGAGCTTTGCATATTGGTTCCTGGACTTCGGGAATGCATCTTCCCGTTTGGAAAACTGGACAATCCTGGCAGGTATCATACATGTTGTATGAAGCATTCAGAATTTGTCAGACATAAATGTGGTTTTAGGCCAAAGAGATATGCATCTCGCAATGTTTACATATACATATATATATATATATACATGATATGATGACTATAAAATAATTACAACGGAAATCAAAATTAGATATGCATGTACAAGCACCGAAAAACAAAAGAAAAACAAAACAACATTGATCTAGTACTTTGCAAGACACCCCCTGGTTGGCAAGATGTTTTGCTTTGCCGCCTCCCATCTTTGTTTAGTTTCCTATTTCCTATAGAACATTTTTCAACAGGGCGGGAAAGATAACGAAGACGCTCAAGCAATCTTGTAAGAATTGATAAAATTATGGGATAACATCGATGTTTGAATGCGGAACGGGAACATCTATAGGAAACTGCATTCTTGACTAGTAAATCTACACCCCTCCTGCGCATGTTTTCCTTCAATGAACCCTAAGTATTGCTGCCAAACTGCTTCAGAACGCCTATTTGGCTGGCCCCAAAAATACCAAGCGTTTTAGCGCCTAAAATTGGCTTTGAACATATTGTATACAGTTTGTTTATCCATAGTTATAGAGACCCCATGGTTGACAAGCTCAACTACCCTTTGGTAATTAATGTGTTACATAGCTCTTGAAGTCATGGCCCATTTAGTTGGTTCATTTACAAAATTGTGATTTCCATAGCAAACAGTAAACGTTTACCGGAGGGTACTGAAAGCCGCCGCATGGTCCCCTAACCTTGGTCCTCTACCCTGGGAACCCCTCAGAACGTCCCTTAGGTGTGGCAACTGCAGAGCGTCCGGAGGGCCCATACCGTGACTCTGGGCAGCGGCTGATCAGCGATCCACACTGGGCCATTGATGCGCGGCTCGATCGCGGGTGATATACAGTGGTTGGTTGATATCATTTAGCTATCATCTATACTATTATGTAGTGATGAATTTAGCTATCTAGTTGATGATTGATAATTTAGTTCATCCAAGTTCATATTCCCGCCGGTGATCATCCTAAATCCATTGGGTAGAATCAGACCGGACAAAACTCAGAAACCAACAAGGGTTGTGAACATGTGTGGACACACATGACTATGACCCAAAAAATACTCGTATTATGAACCCAAACAAGGATTAATTGTAAGCAAACTTACTGGTGCTTAGTAGGGAATGGATGGGAATGGGGGAATGGGATGATTATTGATAGTTATTGTGGATCATTCCCTCCCTACTAAGCACCAGTAAACAAAATCCTCACCAAGCTTTGCGCCAAATGACAGCTGTCTTGGGTCCGTCGGTCCATTGGCAAGCCAAAAACTACCTTTTTTCGAGCCAAAACCGCATGGAAATGGAACATCATCGCTTGTGAACATTGCCTTAAGTGACTATGTTGGCATGGTGTAGAGGCACCAGCTCGACATCGAGAACACAAACAACAGAAGAAATAATTTCTGCAGCAGGCACCATATTTCATTCAAGGATGTCTACATATTTTGGTGGCAAAAGTATTCGACCCCCAAAGAAAGCCAAGCATTTGTGATGCCATCCTCAGTGCATCTGAAAAATGGCACCTGCTGCATGTTTTTCTCACACATGAAGGTGGTTTGCAATTTGTGGCATCTCTTCAAAGCCTGTTCATCACTGTTCTGTTTCAGATCTTTCATGTTTTTTACCCCTAAATTCCCACGACCGGCCACCAGTGCCGGATATCAGGAGCTACTTCTACGACGCGGCCACCGGGAAGCAGTATGTCCTGTGGAAGGTGGATGGCAACGCTCATAAGGTGCCATCCTGCATCAAAATGAGCACCTTGGACTGAGCTGGGGAGAAAGGAACCAGAAAATTGATGGTATTTTGACCTTGGACCTTGGACGAGGCTTAATATACTATTGCATGTATGTGTGTATATACATATGTGATCATATGTGTATAGCCTCCGGTAATCAAACACGGCTTGCTGGAACATACCCCATTTAGGTCGATATTTTCCCAGCTATATATAATTATATATATATATGTTTTTCCCCCCCCATTGAGTGCAGGTATTTCCGGCCAGCTATGCTTGATCACCCTGCGTATTTACATCCATAGCAACCTCCAAGCCACGATAGAAACAACACGTTTCCCGGATGTGAACGAGATGATGGGGGCCCCCTTATGATGTCCAGGTCGCGAAGATGGGGGTGTCCTAAACTGGGGTACCCCAAGTCACCATGGGTTGATCTATATAATTTAAGATTATTTTTGGGGTACCCCCATGACTTAGGAAACCCCCAAATGGTTGTTACTATATCACATTATATCACTATATTCCGGTTTTCTCCAACAAACAAGTTGGCTTTAGGAGAGCTGGACGCTGCTGGTACTGGCCTCGCAGAGAAGAGCGAAGCCGTGGTGTTGATCCATAGCGAGCTGAAGTGGGAAGGTGGGCGCGACAGGGGAGAGTTGCCCTAAACCCTAAACTACATATATATATGTATATATATAGATGTATATATATATATAGATGTATATATATAGGGGTTTTGTGAAAATTATATAATAGGATTTACATGTTTGTTTGTGGAATTTAACCATATTTAACCAACAAAATTGGGAAGATACCCTCTGGTGATGACTAACACAAATGTAACGTGGAACCTCAAAATTGCCATGATCAATAGAAAAATATCGAAAGTATTCTTCCAAACCATTCTACGCAAAAAACTGGGGGGGGTTCCATCTGAAATTTTCGGGTTTGAGTTGTGGGTGACATTCATCCTGATTTAGTTACCCAAAAGTGGGGATCTCACATGATTTAAGCAGAAAAATAGGATTCCATCAGCAAAACAGCCGCATTTGGTGTGACTGAATCTATTGTAAACCAGCGAAGGCAGAGGTTTTCAATTTTCTGTCTGTATGTTTTAACCAATAATTGGGATTTAGCATGTTGTAGTCAAGACAAGTGTGGATGAAAGGAACAACAAACAAGCAGAGTCTCAGCAACATATCACCGGAGTCAAACAACAAACATCGAGATGTTTTATATTATACATATATTATTATGTTGTTATTATCATACAAAAATATATCTGCATGTATTACTCACCAGGGACAGAAAACGAAGAGTGCTGTCCGTGTCCACGGGGATAGAAACTCAGCACTTGGGATGCCGGTGGACATGTGGACATGCACTTCTCATATTTGGTGGTGACACATCCTGTGAAATATGTGTGAACATGGCCATTGAAATAGTGGATTTACCCATTGAACATGGTGATTTTCCATAGCTATCACTGGGTAGCTGGTTGGTGGTGACTGGAACCATGGAATGGATTATGACTTTCCAGAAACAGTTGGGAATGAATCATCATCCCAACTGACGAACGCCATCATTTTTCAGAGGGGTAGGTATACCACCAACCAGGTAGTCATATTCCGTATCATCTGCGCATATTTACTGTCCTTTGAGACAGCTATTTGCACCTACGACTGTTTGTTTGTTCATTAAAACTGGGTATTTCCAAGCCAAACATGTTTGGTTTCCGGAGGGTAGCCAGGTTTTTTCGTGTTCTGATGATCGCCCTACTTGAGCAGCCAAGACTGATGGAACATGATGGAACTACTGCCTGGCCAAAACTGACGTATATCAATGTATATCAATTAATATCACATAGGCAATGCTTATTTGACCTGGGCCAAAGGAATCCATGATGACCCATGACGTTTTGGTTTCTAGCATTTTTCTTGTTTTTTTTTTGGGGCTTTTTTGGGATCCCTGGTGAATCAACCCCAAGATCTTTCGGTAGATCCAGGTGCAGGAGTGCAGGAGTAGGGACCCTAAAACGTTTTTTGGGTAAGTCCAGAGTCTGTGTGAAGTAAAAGCAAATCGTTAACTTCTGAAATCCATAGCGATTCACCATCATATACCCCTGATTAGAATATACCATCATCATATACCTTTCATATACCATCATTTGTTCGATTCGTGAACTTCTAGAATTCCCATCACAGTACCATAGCCCCACAATATGCTGTTTGATCTGATGGTCTTTGTAAAGAAATATGCTGTTTGACCGTCCATCTTACCACTGACCAGCGGATGATGTTTGTTTTTCAGGTGGCGTGGTCGAAGGACCTTTCCTCATTCGAAGGGAAGACTTTTACTATCTGTGTCTCCTTTGCAAATTGGGTGCGCATCGAAAATGGTGGATTTAGTGAGATTTCAATGGGATTTTAGTGGGATACAACTTAATTACTTGGGGGGAGCCCTCGAAGTATAGTATGGGTCAAAATTGTTGACCCCAATGAATAAGTAGATGGTCAATACTAAGACAAGACTATGGCTAAAATATGTAATCCCTGGCCGGTCTCAAATTTTCACAGTGACATTGGCGCAGTCAATATCTGGGCTCTGCAGACCAGTTTGTTTTTCGACAGTTGGTGGAAGTTTTGCAGATTTTAAATATCCTCAATGAATAGGTATCTAGGGAAATCTTAGATGGGTACTTTAATCCTTTAGTCTTTTGGTATCAATGGGAATATCTACTAACCAGCAAAGATTTTTTTTTGCAGGGTATATGAGATTGGCAATGGTATGTACAGCTCATAATGCTGGTCATATTTAAGATATGAAATTGCACGTGGCGTTGACCTTTCCAATATGTTCCATGTTTTGTCTTTCAGACAGGGATAGATAGGGTATGTGTCCAACATGTTGCCCGCAAAAGTGATTAATATACCAAAAAGTGCGTAAATCGAAGTTTGTCAACTTGGCAAATGTGTATGATTGTTTGTGCTGTGATATTTTGTGGTGAACAGAATGCCAGAAAAAAATGTCAATTTGATTCCCCAAAATTGATCATAATTGGTCCATTGATGTTGGTATAGTAATTCTACAGTTTGGCCCTTTTATGACACTATTTCTAGAATGTACAAACCCATCGAAATAAACAGTTATAACTATAACTAATAATAAATGGCCATAACTGTAGCATCCATGGATCTTCTTCTGGATCAAGGTTTTACTCTGGCGAATGTTACGGGAACCATCGCTACTGTGTCGCTGTGGCTCGTGCAGAACATGCGACCTGGCTGGCCTCAGGGCTATTGTGTATTGGGTTGGAATCTACGGAAACACAATCCTTATTTTATGAATCTATCGTTCATGTTCCAATGTGGTTCTTAATTCTTAAGGTCTTAAGGCTTTCTTTGACTTTGTTTGAATAATTCTACTAATTACTTGTTAACTCCTCTCCATCATGTATTTTGCGGGAACAAGATCGTACAGTAGGTGAATAGAATACACCATTTGTTTGTAGGAGGTAGCGTAGCTTGACTCATTCCCATCTCCACCAATTATATCCAATTACCATCCAACTGGTACTTCAGATCCAAGCAGCCTCAAAAGAATGTTTTAGAAAATTATAGTCTATGTAATTATGTTGGTCTTAATTACATAGAATGTCCAATCAAGGCCAAAATTATTACATATAGTTTAACCAATTAGCGATTCACAAACTTGGCACCATTCGTGAAATCCAGTGACAACCCAGAAATAAACATCACTTCGCAAGTTCTTTGGATTCTTCAGCTATCATTTTGGTCCAGAGCCCATGGCTCATGTAAGCGTCGCTTCGGGAAATGTCACGTTTATGCCGCCGTTCGATGCATCCAACGATGTCCCCAATCAATGGGATCCCCACTATATAACCAGATATGATGGTGACGCTATGGATCAATTCATGGATCTATGCTATTTCCTGGACTGTTTCAGATGGTTATATCGATCATGGTATATCTATTAATATAATATAATGTAATCCCATAATATCCTCAAATTTGATAGTGAAAACCATGATCTCAACATGTTTCAACATGTTTCAACATGTTTCATCCATAACGTTTCCCTGCTTTCCCTACTGAATCCATTTAAAGGTCACATTCCTCGGACACGGCGTTGGCAGGTGCTTGGACCGTACCTCAAAAGTGGTGCACCCGTCCTCTCCTCGGGCATCGGCTGGGCGGGTCCCGGGCACTGTGTGGTGCTGGATGCGGGCTCCGGTCATGATGCGACGTGGTGGAGAGCTGCGATGTCACCTTTTGGTGGTTGATGGTGACAGCATTTTATAGCATGTTAAAGCATGGTGGTCAATTCCAAAAAAATATAGAACATCTGGAAAAGCAGCATGACATCATAACATGTTCTTATTATTTCTTATTCATATATATATATATACATATACATGTTTTTGTTTTACGATGTATGTTGGGGTATACTTGATGGTGATATATGTGTGAAACATTGGTGATATGCATGAAGAAATACGGGAGTTCAAACCGGACGTGATGGTAGACTAACTTGATCCAAGTGGTTTAATTCGGAGCATGGATGAATCATGATTTATCCAATGTGGGAACCACTATCTACCAACCAGTAGAAGGCGATGCAAATCTTGAAGAACGCGTTTGACAGACTTTCAGATCCTTAAGACATGGAGCTGTATAGTTGGATGATTGCGTACGTCTTACGGTTAAAGCCTGGAATACCAATGATTCTTCTGGTCTTATGCTTATAAAATTTTATCCTTACGGGGTTATCATTCCATAAATGGGGTGATTTCACTTACTTATAACTGGTAGGGGTCATAACTTTACCCATGAAAGGATCCATGTGTGATTAGTTTACAGTGTGCATCCAATCTGTATGCCGCTGAGAGAAGTGTGAAACCATGTTTGGGCAGGATACTAGAGTTGGCTGCCAGATGATTCTTGACCAGATGTCTCATTCCAAACCTAGGTGTTTAAGGCAAAAGGTGATGAATGGAGAACAATGCCAGTCAAAGCAATTCAAAGGAATTTGACACATTCTTTAACGATAATAAATCGTTATTTCCCATCTCGACAGTTTCCAGCAAAATCCCCATGTTGGAGGATGAAATGAAACATAATATCCCCAAATTCTAGGATGATCACAGATCATAACTGTGCTGCAGCTAGGTCATCCAGCTATAAATCGGGTACCTCTAGTTACCTGCTCCCAGGCTCCCAGTGATGTTGTTTTGGAGCCCGGAACTACAAATTAATATCTACCACAGACCTGAGTTAACCTTGGCAGCACAGATTTTTTTTAAAAAAAACAACATCGCCAACTGTGGCAGCATATGGACGATTTGTTATCCCATATATGTTCCATTTACCCTCTGGTAAATTAACATAGACCCTGGCAGACAGGGGTTGAAAGACTAGTTTCTTTCCACTAAAAATTTGGTGTTTTCAGGGTCTGTGTTAATTTACCAGAGGGTATACATGATATTAAATATATATATACAGTATATATATATACATATATATATATATTGATGATCCAACATTGATCCATGATTGTCCCATTATCTAAGCATATCAACCAATCACTTGCGATCAATATTATGTTGTTTTTGTTTTTGTTTTTATCCTCTAGATACATGATATATCTAGCATACACCATACAACCTGGTGCCCCCAAGATAGCTAAGTTGGTGCACATGACTTTACTAACTATAGTTTATGGTTGATTTATCGAACTAGTTCATGGGATTATAAACCAACAAACATCACTGGGGAGGGTACCACATTGTAAAATACCTTCTGGTAATCAATCGTGGCAATTGAACATCACCCATTCATATGATTTTCCCAGATACATATAGATACATCTACCTAGATACATCTACCATATACCTTGGTTTTCATTGCGTTATAAACGACCGTGCCGCCGTGCCGCCGTGCCGTAAATTCTGCACCTCTTCCCTTGGGGCCCCCGCCTTCAGGTGATGATTTTCCATGGAGCGGATCACCTGGGATCCTTGACCCGACAGGGGGGGGTTGTTATTTATCTGAAGCAATGGTAGGCACAGGGATTTGATATGAATTCAATATGTTTTATATCTGATTCAATATGATTCAATATGTTTTATATCTGATTCAATATGATTCAATATGATTCAATATGATTCAATATGATTCAATATGATTTCTTTGATTTTTTGGGGTTAATCTGGTTGGTGAGTTCAAACATTATTAATTATTTGCTCCACATATTTTTGGGATGGGTTGAGACTCACATAGTGTTGGACAAACCACCGACACCCATAGATATACATACAGTAGATCTACACAGCCATGGGAAGGTGATGTGAAAATATGTTGATGTTCTTCTCTCGACTGCGTAGAATCAGCGGTATATGTTGGCTCCTTCTTCATTTGAGACCCACCACAAGACCAAGAAAGGACATGGCACTCCCAAAAGGTGTGTATATAATATAGAGGCACGTGTAATATATTAATGTGTACATATATATATATGTACATATTATATATATTATAAATGTAATTGTACAAAACTTACCATCTACACATCTAAGAGATGTTCTCCGGTGCCCAGGAGGACGGTTGGCCCGTGGTCGGCTCCGGTGTTCCCTGCTCTGTGCCCCAGTCGTTGCCGCCACTGGACCCCGCGACGGCACGGACGCCAGGGGGGTCCTTCGTGCCGCGGCCGCCGCTGGAGATGGGGAAGACGTATCTGCTGCAGGTCTCGCAGGACCCTTGGTGATGGATCCTGTACTAAGGGTATACTGTAGAAAGTGTCCAAGAAATAAATATCGAAAAAGCTTGAAAAAACCATGGGGATACAATATGAGATGGGGTATGACGGTATAATGTAAAAATTGGGATATTGTAGATCTAGGTGGGCTGGTCGTTTTTGGAAGGTATAGGAAATGATTATAGGTTTCTGTTCGTTTAGAAGTAATTTAAGTATATTTAATTGGGATTTATATTTGGCGTGCGTGTGTGTGTGTACAATATATATATATATATATATATTAAATTATATTGGATGGGGTTACTGTACAGGGTGGTGCCTCCCCGTTTGCGTTTGTTGGCTTGTGAACCCATGAAACTTGTATTCTCTGCCATACAGCACCTTAACCTACTTATAAACCAGCTTGGCTAAGTAGACGGCACCACTTTGTAGGTTGATGGTGTTGTTTGTTGGACATGTAGAATGTAACCACCTAAATATAAAGAATCAGGAGATGACGGATGTAGCATCGGTCCTCATGGCCATGTTTGATTTGAAGGTCAGGATGGGGGAGGGCAATGTATAGTTTCCCAGTTGCCCAATTTGTACGGGTATGTTTAGCGCCTTAGTTGCATATGATCCATAGCCTTGAAATAATCACGAAATACGGAGTGTAAGGTTTCAGTGGGGTGCAAGGCACATTGGCTGGCGAATGGCTCCATAGTGGTCAATCCTTTTATTTTATCTTATGTTTACTGTCACAGGGAGAGGGCATGGGTACGGTTGGAAATCAAATGCCCTGAAAACATTTTTACTATATATATCTATATACATATTTGAGTCATCGAGTGTTTTCTTCTTATCAAAAATGGAAACAAGTTCATTGGGTACCCCGTTTTCACTCGTCGCACTAAAAAAAATGATATCTTTAGGTCATTTCCACAAACATCCCTAGCCAATTGCCGAACTTTGCAGGGCTGGGACGTCTACTTGGGCTACGATGGAAAGCTCTCCAAGTCGAAGGACCAGGTTCGGTGCGCGAGTTGGTTGGGTTGCACGGTGGGTGGTTCTCCTCACTTATAAACTGTATAAGCCCCATTAACTATACATACATATATACGTATATATATATAACATGAATATCCATAATTCATAGATATCATAGTTCACCTAGTTATAAGTCAACTTCGCCATCAACTGAGGTTTTATTTTGGACCTCCAAACGGGGGATTAGAGCCTTTTCAGGCCAAAAATCATGATCCATGAGGAAATGAGTTCCACTTGCAAAGACTGTCCTTGGACAATTGAGGCTCGTGCAGGAACCTCTGAATCACGTCTCAACCACTCTTCAGTAACTAATTAGGATGATCATGAAAATCGGAGTTTTTTTTCTTGGGTGAATCTCGCGTTACTGGGATGCCAAATGGTACCTTCTGGTAGTCAGACATGGCTTGCCGGAAAATCCTCATTTCAGTTTCGAATATCAGATGGTCAGTCAAGCCTGTAAAATCATAAAATCCTTCATACTGAGATATATTGACCAACATTGGTAAATCATGCAAAATCATTGGTAAACATTGATAAATCATGACAAACAATCAATAGTGATGATGAATTATACAAAATCACTATGATTTATCTATTTATCATGATTTGTCAATATTTATAGGATTTTAATCACCTTAAATCACTGTTATATCTTTTCGAGCCTTACCATGGCCCCTTCCACCGCCATAGCCCGGCAGGTCTTCACCGTGCGTCCCGGGCGACTGCCCGGGGGCACCGTCAGCCTCGAAGCCGCCGCCAGCGCGCCCGGGCGCTTTCTACGGCATCGCTGTGGGAAGCTGGAGTCCGGGGAGCCTGGTACGATGAAAAGCCTGGAGGTGTACCACATGAGCTATGAACAAAATAGCCTGGTGAAACAAGACACCAGTTTCGCAGAGTGCACGCACGCACGGGCTTGGCTGGCGCACGGCGCATGCAAGTTCTATAGATGAGAAAGGTCTTACATATATATATATACATATCTTTAAGGCAACTTCCGCCCCGCCTCGTGCGGGTACTACTCGTAATTGAAATAACAGTACCCTGGCGAATTGATTGCAGGGGATTATACTACCTGGTTTTTCGTTGGGATTATGATAACCCATAGGGAAACCGTTTTCAACCAACTAGTATTTCATGAGATGGGAAAACGGGTTATTTTTAATGGCTCACATATCAATAGTATAGGTTTCCACGGGGATACCCCAATAGCTGGATAGTTTATAATGGAAAATCTTATTGAAATGGATGATTTGGGGTACCCCTATTTTAGGAAATCTCCATTATATAAATATAAATATATTATATATATATATATATTATAATGTAGTAATTCCCAAAAGAAAGAAAAACATGATTTATCACACTATTTCAAATTTGATGTTCGATCTTTTCAGGATATATTATATACGAGCCACCGCAAAACCCCGGCAATACTAAATATGTATTGGACGGACATTGGTTTATGGAATGTAAGCGATTGGACTTTCCCAAATTAGCGATACCCCTTTTCAAAGTTATGGCATTGTATTTCTCTAGTATCCACATTAGCGATACCCAAATTGGACGTTGATTTCTGTGAATTATATATATATAGCAGTTTCCTGCAAGCGATACCCCCCAAGTCTACCATATGGTAAGCGATGGGACCTTCCCAAATTTGTGGATGTCCTTTCCGTGAACCTGGGGTTTTCGAGATTGCTCATATATATATATATATATATGTGTGTGTGTGTGTAAAGATCAATGAATGGATAGACACATGTTATACCCCCATTTTGAACCATTTGTATCTGAAATTATCCAGTCATATCCCATCATATGCTTTTGTTGTACCATTGTTGGATTTATGGAATGGATAATTATATATATATATATTATGTTTTTTTCATATTGATTATAACTTATTTGTGGAATAAAAAACCGCAACGGGATCTTTTCCTCGTCCGCCCAGGCTCGGTTCTGGCGACGACAAACTCTTTGCCAACGATGCTTCCTGGATGGCTCTGCCCGGCCTGGCGAGCGCTGAGTCCGATCGCGGCGTGTCGTTGCGATCGGTGAATTTTCCGGAGGGGATGGGGACGGCGATGGCTGCCACGGCCATGCTCGATATACCGAACTTCAAAATGGTGATGTTCCATAATTAGGTTAGTTTACCAGAGGCTGAGGGTTAGTTGAGGGTTAGTTGATGTTGGTTTTTGCTGGCGATCGTACTTCCTTTCAAAGAAATATACTGGTTGGTGGTTTCAAACATTCTTTATTTCTCCATATATTAGGAATAATAATTATCCCAGCTGACTTTCATATTTTTCAGAGGGGTAGGTCAACCACCAACCAGTATATAATTACATCCCTCAAGGGAAACAAAGGATACGGGGCGCGTTGAATACCAGCCTCAAATGGGACCGCACCTGCCTCGACCACTGCTGGTGATTGTTGGATATGCATTTTTCTTGGGGATGTTTGGCTGTTTGATGGGATGGATTTTGATGTTCAAAAGAAAACAATCGAATCAGAATCAATAAGCAGTCGTTTGTGACCGTTTGTGGTGTCCAATTTATTGCATCTCCATCTCAACAGGGATGATAACCTGCGACCTTTCTTGGGATAGAACATCATTAGCCTCCAGTGTCATCAAACATGGCAATGGATGGCAATGGGAAATCAGCTGTAAATGGAGATCTTCAATGGGAAAGACAACAAGAAATGGTACAATGTCCATTGCCATGTTTGACAACCGGAGGGCAAGTCACCAATTTTTATGATTTTGGATCACCTTCATGCAATGATGGTTTTCTTGAGTTAACAAATTTTCCTGGAAACAACCAACGGTTGAGACAAATTATAGCTAGCCCCAGCGCATCTTGTTGGCTGCAAAGTTCTTAGCCGAATCAATCTAGCAGTGCAGGATTCTTACGTGCGGCACAAGAATGGAGAGTTGTTCAGCTGCATGGCAAGCACAATTTATTTTGGCTGTATGCTTTTCGTATTTTCATGGAGCCCACAAGAGAAAGCCTGACGCTAGCCATGGGGTGTCCGACTTGGAACGCCACTCCATGCCATGCTTCAAAACTCCATATTTCCTTATAGAACAAAAACATACAAAAACTGTTTTTCCCACATTCACCAAGGTAGAGCTCGTATGAGCTTGTTTTCCGAAATGAAATTATGAAGGTGGAATGTTTCTCCCGAGAGTTGTCGACATTTCTGGTTGGTGGTGTGGAACATGTTATATTTTTCCATTCAGTTGCGAATATCATCATCCCATTTGACTTTCATATTTTTCAGAGGGGTAGGTATACCACCAACCAGATATAATATATATATATATATGCGTATTGTAGAATCTGCCAAGATGTATGAAGTATTTACCCACATTTACCACCCAAAAACAGCATAACCTATATGCAACTGTGTAGTCATCCTCGAAGGAATATGGACATGTCCAACGATCCTGACTCAATGTTTCTATCTACTTCAGGATTATTGTAATGTTACTCGCAAACCCCCCAGTTCGCCCAGACAACTTCTTAGGGATTTTGAAGGAATATAAATTCCGACCCCCGTTAAACTTTACCTTCAATTGGGAAGATCAACAAGGATATTAGGAATATAAATTCCCACCCCCGTTAAACTTTACATTCAATTAGGAAGATCAACAAAGGTATTAGGGAATATTACAGTCCCACCCCCGTTAAACTTCTACATTCAGTGAAGATCTTCAATAAGGGTTTAATTCTCCCACCCCCGTTAAACTTCTACATTCATTGAGGATCTTCAATAAGGGTTGAATTCTCCCACCCCCGTTAAACTTCTACATTCATTGAAGATCTTCAACAAGGGTTTAGTTCTCCCACCCCCGTTAAACTTCTACATTCATTGAAGATATTCAATAAGGGTTTAGTCCTCCCACCCCGTTAAACTTCTACATTCATTGAAGATTTTCAATAAGGGTTTGATGATGATGATGATGATGGTGATGATGCTGATGATGATGATGATGACGATGTTGTTGTAACATTCAACGCAAAGGTAGCTAAGCTGTGCGTTGCAAGATGAAAGCCATGATCATGGACATGTGCATTTTGTCCCACAAAACACAGTGTCTTTTGATGTTCGGACACGTCGTCGGCGTCGGCGCGGGCAAACTGAGGGGTTTTACCGTAATGTTATACTAGTATACCACATTATACAATCAGCCAGTAGACCGCTATTTTTCGCAAACGAATCAACAGGCAACATCTTTGAGATGAACGACACATACCTGGCAGATGCCACCTGGAAGCCAGTGACTTGTGACAAAAATGGAGGTCTCCGAGGGTCGGTGGAGAAATCTATACCCGAAATGTCATTGAATTCACCTCGAAAAGTCTGGTGAATAGTTGGAGAAAGCAGAAAAGAAACAGGGGTGATAGGGGGAAGCATTTTGATGTCGTGCGTTGTGCTCGGTGTCGGGTAGAAACTTGAAAACATGGAGATGGATCCAGGCAAGCAGTGGCAAACATTTGCTGCGTGAATGTGTCTCTTAGTGGTATAACTAGTTCTCCAAGTCTTGAATTTTTGTTTGCACCCTCATTTCGACTAATACGCATGTACTGAGTACTGTCTTTTGATATTGGAGCTAAGCCTCCCCAGGTGTTGCGGTTTAATTTGTTTCATGGCCGTGTCACACAATCTTGGAATGGCACCCCATATGGGGGTTTCCGGAAATGGGGGTACCTCCAAATCATCCATTTTTGTCAATAGGATGATCATGGATTATCCATTAGAAACCATCCAGCTATGGGGGTACCCCCATTTATGGAGCCCTCCAGGGGGGGAAGAGGAGATAGATAGAAGAGGGAAGAGGAAGATTGAGAAGAGAGAGGAAGCAAGAGAGAAGAGGAGAGAGAATTTTTTTTTGAGATTGTGTGGAGGAGAAAGAGAGAATGAGAGAAAGAGAGAAGAGAAAGAGAGAAGAGAAAGAGAAGAAAAAGAGAGAAGAAGGAGAAGAAGAAGAAGAGGAAGAGAAGAGGGAAGATCCTATAGGGAATGAGAAGATAGAGAAGAGAGACAAGGAGATAGATGAAGATTTGAGAATTGAGAATTTTTTGGAGTACGAGAAGGAGAGTGAGTTATATGTTTTTTTCGAGAAGAGATTTTATAAGATAATTAGAGAATGTTGTTGTGAATAGTTTATATAGACAGGAGAAGATGAAGAGAAATAGACAGGGAAAAGATGGATAATGAAGACTAATATAATAAAATATATAATAATATAATATAATATAATATAAATATAATATAATATAAATATAACATAATATAAATATAATATAATATAATATAATAATATATATATATATGGCACCCCTGGTTTGTCCAACCTTCATCAACTTTCCAGGTATCGACTCAGCATGACTCAGCACTTTTGTCCGTCCAAGCGGCGCTCCTGAGGTGGCCGTTTGAAGTGAGGCATCGCGTTGTACACATTGCAGTTGCAGCTCGCGTTGTTTCAGTTCTGCGGTTGCAATTTTCAGTATAAGAAAAACATGGTTATTTTCATTGGGGATATATTTATAATGTGATGACGTTTGGATGTACTGCATATTATAATGATAACCATGTCATGGTCATAATAGGAACATATCCCGCCTCACCAAAGGGGACAGTTTGATATTAGATCATGACAACTCGCAGAGGTTACGATCAAAAACCGCCGAGTACTCTGAACACATTCCTTTGGACAAAACCTATAAATGGGAGAATAAATAGCCATAAATCCTAGCTATTTTAGGATACCCCAATATATAGCCAGGATTTTGACTCATACCCATATATTCTAACCTTTGTCAAACATGCAATCTCTCCAGAACTGGCTTCAGCCGTGTTCAAACTGTTCAATTCCACCAAAGAGTGGGCACATGCCAGGAGCCATTTTAGCGTCACAACTGGCAATAGTTTGTGCAAGTGAAACACCTGTGTTGTTCTTGGTGAGGTGAAATAAGGTGTTGATCCCATGTAGGGTTCATGTTGTACGACTCTGCAGTAGGACTATATACACACAATTCAACCACAAATTTAATTGACATGGTATATGAATGATCGGACCAATATTCAAAATTAGTTTTATTGTTTATAACCATAAATTTCAACTATACCACAAATATGATTGCTCATCCATCGTTCCAAGGACCAGCATACTTTTGTAATGAGTGGTTGCCGCCAAAGACGGTCTGACGTTGGCCAGCGGTGTCCAAAAGATTGGCGCAACAGTGGTGCGTATGGTGTTGGCGTAGGGGGTGGGTCCTATCTAGCTAATATGTATATATATACACAACATTATATAACAACAGCAAGCATTGATTAGTATTGGATTGTCCAATAATAGGTTACTATTGAACTCGAAAAAAAGAAAAGCGCTGGTTGATCGTTACAGTCGCCATGAATTAGATCACCATTTGGGGAAGACTCAGTCGCTGTTCAGATGCCCAAAAATTGGAACCACTGATGGCGAAATCCTGCAACCAGGTAACTACAAATGTACCTCAAGACGTAGTAAATCATTGGATTATAGTGGGAACCATCTCAGTATTTCGTTATAAATACGATATTACAACGACCTAAGCCCAGTACCCAAGATGAAAACGAAACAAGTTGCAGTGCCACAAAGTTGTTTGTCTTTGAGCAATCCTGTCAGATCGGCACAGAAAACCATGTTGATACCTGTATATATATATACACATATACATTGATTAAAAGTACTGGGATGTGGGATCTCTTTGTTGATTTTGGGATTTTGACCTACTCCGATTCTGGGTATCATTCAACTATATTATCCTTTGTCTTGTTTACAACTAAAATAGACTTACATGGGTCAAACATATACATATGCAATTGAATGGGGATAGACTTGGGATTAATCATGATTAAACCGTCAATGAGGATATAATGGTGATGTATGCATATAATATACAGAAATATCTATAGATATCCATGGATATCCATAAATATCCATGAATATCCATAAATATCCATAAATATCCTAGTAAAAGATATTCCATGAGGATACAATGCTGTTGTGTTCCAATCCTCTGTGAAGTTCCACGTTTTTTCAGAACTGCTCGTCCCAGGTCGAACAACGTGCAACGGAACATCGTGGTGCACCAGCAGCAGAAGCTTTCACCAAGAAATCCATGGAAATCATTGGGATAACATGGGGAAATCATAGGGAAAACAGGGAAGATCACAGTTATGGCCATGGCTAATAGTTGCATTGTAACTGGCTATTTCAATGGCATTATACATTCTATAAAGGTTAGTACTTATAACTGGTATAACTCGGGCCATAACAGGGAATATCGGGGAATTCAAGCAACAAAAATTGGGGATATGTGTAGTGCTAAACCTCGAAGAATTGAAGCTGGTTGGTGGCTTCAAACATGAATTTGATGTTCCAATAAGATATTGGGAATAATCATCCCAACTGACTTTCATATTTTTCCAAGATGGTTAAAACCACCAACCAGGAAACATGTTCTTTCCACAACTTCAAAGAGGATTGGAACACAAGAGGCAATGAAAACATGAATTATGCCTGAAACTTTTTGGTCAAGGAGAGTCGAATAGTTCATACCATTTGGTAATTCAACAAAGCCATGGAAGCCACGGCCCAGTTAGTTTGATGTTTTACCTATTAAGAATGCTGAGTGTACATAACTATGTGACTGTCATCTATCGCATTGTAATGCATTGTACCTGGTTGGTGGTTTGGAACATTTTTTTTTATTTTGGCTCCACGGCCGATATAGTCAAAGCCTTTAATGACTTGCCAAGGCTGCCAGCTCTTACGGCAGCGAAGCTGTTTGGGGTTGACCAAGGTACGTTGCAAGCGTGGGCAGGGGCGTTGTCAGGCTTCAAAAGGCACTTTGTCATCCAGGGTTCATTTTCCCCAGGGGTTGGATCGTGCAATGGATTCCCAGAAGGCTGTGCTTTGTCTTGCTTGGCTATGGTTGGCCTTACCCACCTTTTCCATGTTTGGGTTAGAGCCGTCGACATGACCTTCAAACCTGCGTCATATGTCGACAATTGTGCAGTGCTGCTGGAATCCCCTGAGGCCATGGCAAAAGCTTGTGACGCGGTTGACAAATTTGCAGACATGCTCAAGATCAGGCTCGATGCTAAGAAAAGCTTCACTTGGTCTGCTGATCGTCATGGACGCGCTGCCCTTCGTGCACAAGGTTTTCGTGTCGTGAATGCAACGAGGGATCTCGGAGCGCATGTTGTTTATACCAGACAGCTCTCGAACAGCACTCTGCTTGATCGCATCGAGGGCCTTTCAGACTTTTGGGTTAAGCTGAAATCTGCGGTGACCACCTACAAGCAGAAGGTCACTCTGGTTCGTCGTTGGCAAGAAACATTTCGAGTCCATGCGGACTGCAGTCATGCAAGCTCTTGGTCAGCAAAAACCAGGGGCTAACCCAGATTTACAGTGTTGTTTGGAAGGTGTTTCGTTTGACCCACAAGCATATGCCATCCTTGAAACCATCCGTGATGCCAGGAGTTTGGGCACCCATTCACAGGTCCTGCTTGACCTCCAAACTGGGCCCCTCAGTGAAGAGGTGCCTACGTACAATACGCTGTCCGAAATCCTCTGCCAGAGATTGCGTCAAGCTGGGTTCCAGGTTTTACCCAGTGGCCAGATTGCCGACTCTTTCGGGAGTTTCTCTTTCCTTGAGTGTGCGTTTGGAGAGTTGGTGTTTCGTTTCCAGCAGATGTGGACTTTGGTTGTTGCCGCCCGAATTGCACACAGACCGTCTTTTGCAGGGTTCCAACAGGTTGACGTTGTCGATACCAGAACTGACTATCGCACGTTTGATGGTTTTGACCAAGGGGTTCTTCGGAAGTTTCTTCATGGGGCCTTGATCACCAACGATCATGTTCAGCATTGGTCTGAGTCTGGCGTGTCAGCGTGCAGTCAATGTGGGGCGCCGGACTCTGTCGGTCATCGGCTTTGGGAATGTCCACACTCTGGAAGTCTCCGAGACTCACTCCCTGTGGAATGTCTCCAGGTTCTCCCAACCCTCCCCACGGTTGTGTCCCATCATGGTTGGACTTTGCAGTCAAGTCTTTGGTTGCCTTGGTTGCGATACCTTGAGGAGTTGCCGGCTGTTTTCCCTATTCCGCAAGTGCCGCCTTCTGGACCCATCATTGACTTGTTTACCGATGGCAGTTGCCTTTTCCCGAAAGATCCATGTTGTCGAATTGCTGCGTTTGCTGTTGTTCATGCGTCACCGTTCAGCCTGGACTTTGAGAACACTGACTTCCGGCCGCTTGTTGCGCAACCGCTGTCCGGAGTTTTGCAGACGGCGTACAGAGCAGAGCTTCAGGCTATTGTCGCTGCCCTGGCCATCGCTGTGCAGTTTCATGTGTGGGTTCGGATTTGGAGCGACAGTGCGAGTGCGATTGCTGCTTTTCAGAAACATGTCTGCGATGCAGTTCCTATCAATCCGAACTCCAGGCATTCTGACCTCTTACGTGAGATGTACAGGCTGACACAGGAACTTGGGAGTGAAAAGGTTGCGCTGCTGAAGGTTCCGGCTCATCAATCCTCAGAGTTGTTCCCTTCAGACCTTGACAAGTGGCTCATAACTGGTAATGGTGCGGCTGATTCTGCTGCCAATGCAGCCAACCACTCCAGGGGCCCGGCGTTTTGGGGCCTGTGGGAGGCTCATTCCAGGCAAGTCTATGAAAACCAGTGGATTGCCCGCATTGTCCGTCGTCACATTGTCGCAGTCGGTCGGTTGTGGTCTGTCTCCCAGCCTGGGGTTCGTCCAAGTGTCCCAGCTGCTCATGGTATCCCTAAACCTGCCAAAAATATGCCAAAACTTGAGTGGGAGGCGCCTGATGGCCTGGCCCTCCATGGACCCATTGGTTTCAGTGGTTTGCCGGTCCCATTGCAATTGCGAAACGCAACGGCACTTGGGAAGTTGCACGTGGCGAGGCGGCACGACTTTCGAACCATGTGAAAGTTTCTGTCCGAACCAAATGGTTCCGACTGATGCTCCAGCAGTTCTTGCGAGATGCCAGAGTTTGCTATGTTACGTGCACGACTAGGCCGTTTTCCAATTGGGTGTGTTGCCATCGTGGCTCCATTGGTTTCCAGTTAAAGGAAGATGTTTTTCAAAGTGTTGAAGGTTTTCTTCAGGGGCAACTGGGTTCGCCTGCTACAGGCTCTGGCAAGCTGTTGGAGCGTGTGCGTGGCATCTGAAGCGGTCGCAATGTTCGGCCGCTTCTGCGCATCCCAGAGCGGCAACGTTGCATCCAGCGCAAAAAAAGAACATTTTTAATTTTTCCATATATTGGGAATAGTGACCCCAACTGCCTTTCATATTTTTCAGAGGGGTTGAAACCACCAACCAGATACATATATCACTATTTGATCCTCATTGATGGTTGGTTTAATCCCCATTCAATTCCCATTACGGGTACCCTCCGATAATAAAACGTAAAGAAATCCCCCATTTATAGATGATTTCCCCATCTATAAACCTACATTTGTATGGGATTTTCCAGCCACGTTTGACGACACCGGAGGGTATATAAATGTTCAAAGGCGGTTATTTCTCGCCATCCAATTCATTTCCCCAGGGAAGAAGAGCTTCCCAATGGGTTTTGGGGCATGATTTGCATGGGATCTACCAACATTTGACCGCGGAAAAACATCATTAACATGGGTATATGTGTCGGTAATAGATAGAAAAATGTAATGGGCTGTTGATGAATGCAAAAACATGTCTAAACCATTCTCGCATATTCTCGCCGCCTTTCTGGGTTGCGCACTAAAGGCTATAGTATGGTCTGCACCCACGCAAAAAAATATGTTCACGTGTTTTTTTTCTGGAAGGTCTGATTTTTGTTGGTGATACTCGTACATGGTGATAGTCCATGTCCAATTGCTTGGTGCCTCATGTTTTTCGGCTTGTTTCATGTTTGATGGCTGAATTAAAAAAACACATTTCTCTTGGTTGCTGTAAATGTCTATGTTTGAATCAATCAAGGTTATAGTATTATAAGATATGTATATTATAATCTCTAAGATATTACATCTCAAAGAGTTTGATGATGTTTCTAGGTTTGAACGGTTCAATCCTTATTTTCTACTCCAATCCCCATCCAATCCCGTCCCTCTGACACCCCAGGAACGACCCCAACTTTGCAGGGCCCAAGAAGCCTCAAGGACCACAGTTTTTGGTCATGTTTTTGGAGTTCCAGACCAATGGATCCAATGGTTTCTGGTAGATATATGTAGATATATCGAACTAGTCAGAAGTGTTTGTAAACCAACCAACACAACTGGAAAACCACCGAGCTGCATGGTTGGGCTTGTGTTGATGTTGAAGGCTTTTGGATGGATGATGAGTTCAGGGACAAGTGATGTCAGGGCACGAGCCTGTCCCCCTCGAATGGGATAACAACGGGATAGTGAAACATGTTCATTTTACTACACATTGAGAGCCCTTCCGATGAAAATGTGACATATGATGTGTATATAATATATTTATATACATACACATAATTACATGTACATGTATATGTATATGTATATGTATTATGTACAATGAAATTAACTTATATGATATATGCATTATTTCTAGTGATGCTGAACGTAGCCCATAATGTAATGGAGGGAGTAGTGAACAACGATGATATACCTTTGTTCAACCTGTAGCCGTTACGCTCAAGGGCAACCACTGGAGACCTCAATTACCTAGTGGTCTGCTCTAGGGCCTCTTCACCCCCCCAGCATGTGGCTGGGGGGAGCAATTGACAGAGCTGCCTGGTACAGGCACAAGTTCAAAGAAGGCCAGGTAATTGAGGCCTCCATCCGGGATGACGGTGGCAAAGCCCAGGGAACGGTGTTGCTTCGTGTGCTACACCATGAGGAGACCCTGGCGACTGGTCACGTTTTCCAAGCTGAGTATATCTCAGCCTCTGATTCCCACTACAGGTGGTGGATGTGTGAGGGCGCTGGAAAGCCCTTCAAGACCAAGGCAGTCTACCACTCGTGTGAGGGGAACTGCCATGACTGCTCTTACACTAGAGGGCGGGTCAGGTTGATCCACCTGGAGCAGTTCCGGGTGATTGGTAGCAAAGAGTGGGCTGCCAAGGTCCCTGACTGGGCCTTCAAAGGTCCCCCGAAGAAGGACGTGGAGCTCTTTCACGAGAAGGTGAAGTCCGGCAAGACGGAAGCATCGAATGTGATCTCACTTCCTTGGGTCGAGCTGGATGAGGACTCTGGGGCAGACACTGGCAGCTCCGATGTAGAATCTGACCCAGACACCATCGGCAGAATCAAGGCTCTTAAAGCTGTGCTGAAGCAGCTTGAGGAGAGAGGACAGAAGAAAAAGAAAAAGAAATCAAAGGCCAAGGAGGGTAACCTTGGGACCAAGAAGAAGCGCCATGGCCATGATGACGGGGGGAAGAGAGATCATTCACCCTCTTCGGAGGCGAAAAAGGAGAAGATTAAGAAAAAGAAAAAGAAGGGAAAGAAGGTCAATGAGGAAAAGCATAGAGTCAAGAGGGCTGAGCGCAGGGCAGTTGAGGGCTCTGAGTCCTCACAGCAAAAGAAGAGGAAGCCCAAGAAGGCGAAAGAGAAGCAGCGCAGCTCTTCGTCACCTGAATCTAGGGATTCAGAGTCAGCGGAGGAGGATGACAACCTCTTTCGAGGAGGAGAGTCGGCAAAGCGTGAGGCCAGGAAGTACCCCAGGAAGGGCGATAGAGGTCCTTTTGGCTCAGGGGTTCCTGTCACCTTCAAGGGTGAATCTTCAAGTGATTCTGAGAAGTCGCCTTTTCGCGAAGCCCCTGTCCAGCCGCAGAAATCAGGGCAGATGGCCCTGATGGGATACAGCCTGAGACATCCCGGCCGCCTAGCGGCAAGGCTACTACTAAAGATGAAGTCAGAAGTGGCTTTGGGCTCGACAGGGGCAAACATGGAGAGCGACGACAAGACTCCAGCAGTGGGAGTTCAGTATCTCCTGCAGATCCTCACCCCGCACCTGGGCGCAAGGATGAAGGTGAGGACCCAGCGCGAACTTCGCACACTGATGGTGATCCTCGACTTGCTTGCCCGCAATCAGCCCGCAAGGGCAGCAGATGTGGTAAGTCAGAGGGTGAAAGCCCTAGAGAGGGCCACAAGCGAGGGCAATTGGTCGTCAGCGCAGTTTCTGGAGCTCATACCGACCGAGGCAGCCAGCATGCTCGAGCGGGACGAAGAGGTTTACCTCTCAAAAGAAGCACTCCTGGAGCAGAGGCTGAAGGGAGGAGAGCGCCCGAGCTGGAAGGCCCAGAAAGGCGATCCGAAAGGAGGGAAAGGCAAAGGTCGAGGTCAGAAAGGATCAGAAGGAAAGGGAAAGAAGGAGACGGAGAAATGAGCCAACCGTCTTTACCTCCCCAGCGGAGTGGTCCCAGCCGGGACAAGGTTCCTGGAGATTGGAGAGCTCTTCTGCGAGAGTTTGGGAGTGAGGCTAGGAGCCCTTTGTCAGTTTTGTCCAAGGTCTGGGATCTTCTTCCAGTCACTGGTACACCTTTGGGTTATCTTGCCTCCACCTTAGAGAGAAGAGGAGTGTCTCCCGCGATGCAGTCACCTGAAGAACGCGGCGCAGACCTTTTGCCGCTTAACCCATTGGTGGTGGACACCCTTCCAGACCTTGATGATGACATGAAAGGCGCACTGAAGCTCCTCCTACATACTCTGAACTTCCTGTCCATGGGGGGTCGCAACAACAGAAAGGCTGACCTCACCATCCCTGCAGCTCTCTCCACCTCTCAAAAGCTCATGTTGGATCATCTTTCTGAAAGGTTGATAGACCTCGCTGAGGAGCCCCGCAGATGTGAACCTTTGCAAGAGTCCTCACTTATCTTGGGAAAGGCAAGGTTCGATTATGCAGGTGAGCCTGTGCATCCAATGGAAGACCTGGTGGCAGACAAGGTCATTCCTGTGTGGCCTAAGCCGGGTGAATGCGCTGTCCAGAGCGTGATGGACTTTCTCCCACCAGGGCTTGCTGAGATGATGGAGGATCCCATGAACTGCCTTCTCCCGTCGTGGGAATGGCCAGAGCGGCCCGCCTCCAGCAAAGTTAGGGCCACGCAGGAAGAGTGGAACAAGATTGTTTCTGCGGCTCATGCCAGAGGCCTTATGGTTCCTGTAGAGGCTGACAGAGTTTTCAGGGATCATCAAGGGAACATGGTCCTGAATGGAGCTGGTGCAGTCAGAAAGCTGAAGCACATAGGCGGAGAGGAGCTGGTCATGCAGAGGTTCATTTCGAACTTCATTCCTTCAAATGCGTATCAAGCGCATATTGATGCTGGTGATAGATACCTGCCTTACTTGGGACAGCTGACCTTGTTGGAGCAGTCCGATGACCAGTGCTTTCTAGTGGACTCTGAGGACTTCTCCTCATGTTTCAACCTTTTCAAGCTCCCTGAGTCTTGGCTGCCCCTGATGTGTTTTGAGAAAACCGTGGATGCAAGGCTCTTCAATGGTACCCCTGGTGATCAAGTTTACGCAGCAATGGCTGTTGTACCAATGGGCTGGATCAACGCAGTCACTGTGATCCAATCGGTTGTCCGCACGCTGGTGTTTCAGGGCGCCGAGGTCCCAGAAGACACTGAGGTCACCAAAATCAGGGACATGCCCGACAATGATGACCTGACCGTCATCTACCTTGACTCATATGATGAGCTGAGGAGGCTGGACCAGCAGTGTGCTGAGGTGTTGAAAGGCCAGCCGTCTGCCAGGCACAAGCGGTTCAGGGCAGTTTGTGAAGAAAAAGGCCTCCCTTTGAATGACGCTAAGAGACTGGTGGGGGCCACTAAAGGAACATTGCAAGGAGGCACGTTGGATGGCCTCAAAGGCTGGTACAAGCTTGGAGGAGAAAAACAGGTTAGCTTGATTAGCCTGGGGGCAGCGTTGCTTACCCTTCCATCATGGAAGGAGTTTGAGGTACGTCACTTCATTGGCAAGGCAACGTTTGGTATGTGCTTTAGAAGGCCACTGATGAGCATCTTCGACGGCATCTTCAAAGACCTGGGCCACCTTATCAAGAACAAGGAGGGAATTCCGAGGGACAGGTCTTTGGATGAGGTGATCATGGTCATGGCAACGACCTGCATGATGGGATCGTCCCTCCGGGTAAAGGTCGACAAGCAGATCTCCTGCTCAGATGCTTCTCCGACAGGAGGAGGAGGGGCCATTGCCTCGGAGTTCATGCCAGCGCCCGCCACTGTTCTCCATGATGGCGATGAGTGTTGGTGGTGCGATGGGCCCTTCCGCAGTGAGCAGCGCTATCCGTGCCCCTGCCTTTGCGGGGCCGCTTTCTGCTGCCTGGAGTGCATCTGGTCGCACCGTCATGGAGATGCCTCATCACAAAGGTCATGCAAGCGCAGGCATTGGAAGCCGCCCAAGTTTGGAGAGCGGTTCTCTGGCCCTCACGCCCCATTGTCCCACGCGGTAGCAAAGATGGGTGGAATTGAGATCCAGGCGCCCTTTGACAAACTGCTGGGCTCAGACATGTTCACACAGGAGGGGCGTGATGAGCTCACAGGGCTGATGGACGACCCGCAGCTGTACTGGGAGCATTGGGCACCGGAATGCAAGCTCTTTAGCAGAGCAAGGGGGAGACCGATCAAGTTGCGCGACGGCCGAGTCATCACCGGGCCCAAGCCCGTGCGCGATGCCCACCATGTCATGGGGTTCACCAATCTCCCATCCGAGATGAAGGCCCGCCTGAGGCGCTCGAATCAGATGGCTTTGAAGGCTCTGAAGAGAGGCGAGGAAACTTTGGAGAAGAGGCAGCCGCAGCACTTTACGGTGGAACACCCCTATGGCTCTTGGCTGTGGGAATTTACACTTGCCAAAAAGCTGGAGCAGATGGGTATGATTCATTCAGTGGGCTCCCACTGCTGCTTCGGAGGGCCTTGAGAGAAATGGTTCTCATTCTTTGGAACATCAGAAGAAGTCAAGAAGCGGCTTCAACTTGAGTGCCCAGGTCACGACAACCTGCTGGGGTATGAAGTAGAGCAGTTGGCTGATGGTTCACTCCACTACCCCACTGAAGAGGAGAGCGAGTACCCGTGGGCACTTTGTCTCGCATACGCAAGAGGGGTGAAGGCCCAGATGGAGAAGGAGAAGGTCTTTGATCGGGTTCAGCAGGAAGCCCGTGAGCAGTGGTATGTCTCCGAGTTGAGTCGCAGCACCCAGCGGCTCCAGCAGGACAACGTCTTGAAGCCCATGGCAAAGTTCCTCTATCGGATGGAGAAGGAGATGCGGCCCGGTGAAGAGACAAGTCATCTTCACTCACTTTTGAGAGCCTCCTCGATGCGGGGGACTGAAGTCCGGTTTCACATGAGGTTGGGGCCTGAGGAGGCGAAGCATGAGGTACCTTACCCAGCGCTGCGCTGGCGCTGGAAGACAGTCACCTCCTATGCATGGAAGCAAGAAGCTCACATCAATGAGCTCGAATTAAATGCTCTGGTCGTTATGTTCAGGCACCGTGGCAGGTACTCTGCCAAGTTTCACACAAGATGGCTGCATGTCCTTGACAGCATGGTCAGTAGAGGAGCCCTAGCCAAGGGCAGGTCATCAAGCAGCAGGCTGAACAAGGCACTTCAAAAGCACGCAGCGGCATCCCTGGCTCAGAACAGTTATCTGTTTCCACTGTGGACGATTTCGCAGTGGAACTTCAGCGACAAAGCATCAAGACGTCATGGGTAAGCCCAAGAAGCACCTCCGGTATGTGGGGCTGCAGCCTCGGACCCTGCGTGCCTATCGTCTTGCCTTGGACAGATTTCTTCGTTTTACTCATCAAAAGAACCTAGCCTGCTGGAAGTCCAGTGCCCTTGACCAAGCACTGGCAGAATTCATTAATGACTCCTTTCAGGAGGGTGACCCTTTGACCTACGCTGGTCACCTCCTGTCAGCAATCAAGAGGTTTCACCCCGAGTTGAAACTTAAGCTTCCTCGGGCGTCCCAGTACTACCGCAACTGGGTAAAGGCTTACAAGCCCACTAGAGCCATTCCTGCATCGTGGGAGTTGGTGGAAGCCATGATTGGAGTGGCCTATTACCTCTCTTTGCCCCGCTTTGCGCTTTTGCTGGCCCTGGGTTTTCATTGCATGTTGCGCACTTCAGAGATGTTGCAGCTGACTGCGGCCCACGTTCGTATGCACCCCTCTGGCACGTCCCTGAGTGTCATCCTTCCACAATCAAAGACTTCGGAGGGCAACCCACAAGTCTTGTTGGTGGATGACCCAACCATAGTGCAAATGGCCGCTTCAACACTTCGCTCTCGTTCCAAGACAGCGTTGTTGTGGTCACGCAACCCTAGTTGCTTTCGAGATACCTTTGACACCATTTTGGTGCAGCTAGGCTTCAAGCCTAAGACCTACCTTCCGTATTCGTTACGCAGGGGAGGAGCTACGTGGTTTTATCAATTTACCCTATCCTTGGATGCCACAGTGCTCCGAGGTAGGTGGAGCTGTGCCAAAACTGCCCGACAATATATAGATGAGGGCACAGCCCAACTAGCCCACTTGTCGTGGACCTCAAAGCAGGTCAAACACGTCCGCAAGTGGCGACTCAAAGGTGCTGGGATGCGGCTACGCCAGGTGAAAAAGAGAATTTGGACTGCCTGAGGTGAGGGTGGTAACCCTAGGTGTACGGGGTCCTTTTTCCCTTTTAACTAATTGGATTGACTGAGGCCTTCTTTAGGGCTTGATGATACCTTCTTTAAGGTTGCATGTTCGTTCCTCCGGGTGTACCAACAATAATTGTTGTGATGGCTGAATGGAAGGTTGGCCTATCCGGTAATTAAGGCTTTCCTGTCCTGTTGGGGTGTGACTAAGTGCATACCTCAGTCAATAGCAACCACGAGACACTCCTGTCAAAACAAGAGTTGATGTGCAAAGGTATTATTTCTAGTGATGCTGAACGTAGCCCATAATGTAATGGAGGGAGTAGTGAACAACGATGATATACCTTTGTTCAACCTGTAGCCATTACGCTCCCTCCCTCATGCCACCCTTTACCACTTCGGTGTGCTCTTCTTTCGGGTGCTTGGTCATTACCTCGCTCCTGTGCAGCTTTTCTCCTTAGACTAGCTGCGCAACTTTCCTTAAAGTTGACTGAGGCCTTCTTTAGGGCTTGATGATACCTTCTTTAAGGTTGCATGTTCGTTCCTCCGGGTGTACCAACAATAATTGTTGTGATGGCTGAATGGAAGGTTGGCCTATCCGGTAATTAAGGCTTTCCTGTCCTGTTGGGGTGTGACTAAGTGCATACCTCAGTCAATAGCAACCACGAGACACTCCTGTCAAAACAAGAGTTGATGTGCAAAGGTATATATATAATATATATATATATATATATATATGTATGCATATATATATACACATACATAGATCATAGGGTGTGTATATTTACATAGTATAGTAGTGCTTGTATGTTGGGTCTACAACCTTCTGTCATGACCTGTTCTTGACATTCGATGATCGAAGCCTGAAATTCACACCGGATCTCGCATGCAGCAAGAAACAACCACAAGTGTGGTAACTTTGTAAGGTCTATAATTGTACCTCATTGTCTCCTTCTTCTCGCACCCTGGTATTTGGGGAGTTGGGAGCAACTATATATATTAAAATGTATATTCCATGAAATACCCAGTAAAGCCACATGAAATCACCATGAAACCCACAAAAACATACCAAAACCCGGTAGTCCTTACATATCAGCAGTCCTTACAACTCACTTGCTAGAGCAAGCAGCTATTCAGGCTTACTCCATGGCCCGTCTGAGTGGTCCCTAAACACTTCCGTGGGACATTGCCGACATCATTTCCATTTTTTTCGGAATGTTGCGAAGTTTTCGAGAAGCATTTAGGATGATCCGTTAACATCTTTATAAATTACACTAGCGCATTTATGGGATTATCCGTTAAGATACCCCGGAGCATTTAGAACTCCTGATCTTTATCATTGGTCTCATATTTGGTGCCCCCCGCCGGCATTTCATGGATGAGAATGCGGAGATCAACCGGGTTCAGCCTGAGCCGCTGAGCGCGCCCTCGACTCACGATTGACACAGCACATCAATGATGTTGGAGGGGGTCACCTTGAGATGATTCCTGACTATGACACTGGTTCCAAAATCTTCGGCCCAGCCTTTTTTCGTTTGCTGATCCCTTCAATATTGTGTTGCCCAGGTATGTTTGTTGCTTTATAGTGCCATCTAACTATAGTTACATCATAGTTATATCTACCACTAGCTTCCATAGGTCACTTATCAGAGTGAACTGTTCACCCTGAATCGCGTCATCGAACGGGACCCCCACGGTGGCTCCGGCTTGAGGATATCGGGTGTCACAAGCACCTGGTGGGCCCACCTCCATCAATCTCTCCTGGAACGATGTCACGATGCTCAGACGGTCGAACCGTGAGATCCGGGAAATCATGATGGATATCCATGGATATCCGATGTGCAGAGATGTGCAGAGACAGAATGTTTATATGTATGTGTATATATATATACAATACATATACATATATATATATATAAGCTGTATTTATATATATATATATGTACACACACTTATTCGTAAGATCGAGATGGTGTCTTTCAATTAACAAGCTGCTGATAACCTATCTTAACATAACCCCCATCATTTTCCCATTGTCCCATTGCCATGTTGATGTCCAACGGGCTGCCCTGGCCTGAGGCGCCGAATCGGGCTGCCTCACCGGGGAAGATGCGGCCAGAGGCGAATCCCATGATTTTTCTACGGGCTTTCGCTGGCATCGCTGGTGCAGGATTTCGCATTTAGGGGTTGGGTTAATATATATAAATGAAATCAAATGAATTTAGGACTTTGTGTCATGATTTTCTTGGGGATACAACTTGACCAGTGACCATTTTTATGAGGATATCATGTGGATATAATGGGAGAAGTTTCAAAATCTATTGTTGATTAGTTGTTTCGTTTAATTGGTATTTATGCATATATGGTTTGTTTTTGTTTTTTAAAAAAAACATGGTTGATCGATGAAGATACTTACACACACACACCCTTTTCAATCATTCATTGATGAAATCGGATGTTTGACGCTTGAATCGCGTTAGATCTTGGTTTTGTCTGGTTAAATCTCTCATTTTGGTTGGTTCCTAATATCCATTTCGATAAAATGCATCAGTCAAACCATCCCCCATGTTGGATCATGTTGGCAGGTCAGATGTGAAAACTGAGGAACGTTTTAGGCGACATCCCGGTTGATTTTCTGGTCCAGATTATCCAACATCTATGTTAGTCATCAAATGTGGGATTTTTAAAAATTGAAGACCTGGCTTTTACATATGAAACCCCTTGTCAGTGTTCAAAAATGGGTTGAGCTCAATTTGCGTCACACGTTCCCCAGAAACCATGTGAAAAAGTAGTGTCTCTAATATGTAACTAGCCTCCTGGCTCCAAATGAAGATCTATGTATATCTATGTCAGTGTTTTTTTGATGTTTTATGGTATGTATTTTGCACTTACCTATTATCGATGTTAGTGAATGTTAGTGGTAGCCTGAGTGATTTTGGCGTGCTGAGTGAAGCAGTCTTGGATCATCTTGGATCTGTGTTTGCTAGCAAAAAAAAAAGTTGAGTTCCCCTAACTCAGATGGCTGATCCATTCGGCATTGCCACGGCGTTGACGAGCAGCTGGACTCCCAGCACCTGAGCCCAAGCAAGTTGCACACAAGGCGTTTTATGCCGAACAGACCGGCACTGCCAAAGGCGGGGTCAGAGGCAGCGGAACGACATCGCACTGCAGTCAGATAGCCATCTGGATGTCTATGCTACAGGCAATCCACCAGCAGAGCCAGCTTCTAGGCGCCAATTACTGTACAGTACCGCAGGTTCAATGGTGGCCAGAACTCATTCTTCTAAATATTCATAACTTCTCGCGTCCTGGGAAATTCAGAACGATTTCTTCGAGAATTGTTTTCATCCACCAACATAGATGTTAAATTCACCTTGAAAACTATACTCATCTTACGATCGGCCACGAACATAGATATTGGGACACTAACATAGCCGTGGGATCAAAAAAAAGGAAATTTTGCAAACTCCAGCTCACATAGACTTTGGAACCTGTCTAGAGTCATATTAGTGGCATTTTCTATGCTTTGAAAACACACAAACATCCACAAACGTGGTTGTTGTGCACAACATCAGTGGATCTATGTTAGGACCTGTTAGGAGGTTGTTTCTCCAATATTCAAGCTGCATTTTCCGCTAACGTGGCTGTGACGCTCGACATCAGTTATGTAAGATTGCAAGATACTGTAAATTACATCCTCTTTTGTTAAGGATAATGTAGAAAACTGTTTTATTGTGGGGTGATTCTACGATGATAATTTGTCATGTGCAATGATTTTGCTACACCGAAATTTCCCTGTTGTGCCTCATTGAAATTTTGTTGATAGGTTGTAGCCACTGTTGTCCTAGTATCCCTCAAAAAATGTTGGTAAATGGTGAAAACACTACTGGGATCTACTTGGAAGTGCAGTTCCAGTTGTGTAAGTGGATATATATATATATATTAGAGCTGCCATTAGCCTCTTTATTGGCTGGTTTCTGACGTCTCCCAGAGGTGGACGTAAGAGATGGGTCTTTTCTACGTAAGAGTTGACGTAAGAAGTCATGTAAATAATGGGCCTTTGAACAATCTTTGTATTGTATGTATGTGGCGTTGTATTGTCAGTCGATGTTCACTCATAAGCCCATGTGAGTGGTGTGGCTCATGAAAATGGGTGACTGTGAGCCTAGTTATGGCTATGGCAAGGCGCACGTGGTCAGTGGCCACTGGTTTAGCCCGTGACACACTGTGAGAGAACCTAACCTGTCCAACCCCTTCCAAGGACTGTTTTTGTTGGCCTGGTTTCTTCTATGGCAGTGGTTTGCTTACGGGTGCGTTGTCTTGTTTTTGGCCTGGTTTCTTACGTGGTTTCTTACCTGTTTTTGCCTCCCCCCTGAACGGTTCAGAACGGTTCAGAACGGAGAATGAACGGTTCAGGGGTATTCCCCCCTGAAAAAGGCATGAAAAACCTACGTAAGAACTCACGTAAGAACTCACGTAACAACCCATGTAAAGGTTTCTGAACGGTTCAGAACGGTTCAGAACGGAGAATGAACGGTTCAGGGGTATTCCCCCCTGAAAAAGGCATGAAAAACCTACGTAAGAACTCACGTAAGAACTCACGTAAGAACTCACGTAACAACCCATGTAAAGGTTTCTGAACGGTTCAGAACGGTTCAGAATTCCCCCCTGAAAAAGGCATGAAAAACTTACGTAAGAACTCACGTAACAACCCATGTAAAGGTTTCTGAACGGTTCAGGGGTTCCCCCCGTACCATGTAAAAAACAGTAGGTGGCCAGTGGGTTCCAGAGTCCCTATGCTGGCGAGGACCAACCTGCCAGAAAAATTTGACGGGTTTCCTTTTGCAGGGCTTAGTTGATATGCTGGATGGGTTGGGTTCTAAATTGTGATTTATATTATAGACATGTTTCTGGTTCATAAAGAATTTGTTATATCAAATCCTTTTATTCACAAGATATGATCTGGGACTTTTGGGACTATTGATGTGTAAGTAGGCTTGTTATGGGCCATGTCTTTCACATGATCTCTTACGTGGACTGCGACGTGGACTGCGACATGGACTCTTACATGCCTGGAGGTGGGGGTATGCTGACCACAGACATAGAGGCCAGTAGATGGTCTAATATATATATATATATATATACATATATATATAACCAATGCATAGTTTTGTTATGTTTTGTGGGGTTGTATCCCAACTTATGTTTTTTTCATGGTTGTACCCATTTGTAGTCTCAACTGCACACCCAAGTAGGTTGTATCCCATTTAAATCCCATTGAAACCCATGAAATCACCATGTTTGAAGGTTAAGTTGCCAGGTTCCTATGGTTTTCCGAGGGTTTTCCTATCACTTCCGCTTCATTCTGCCCTTGAACAACGTTGCCGCCTGAGGTGATGCCCCCAGCGGGTCGTGCTCCTTCGCCGGGTGCACGCTTCGAGGTGCGTCTTCCTTGTCGTCCAGCGGCATCGGCATCGGATCTATGGGTAGTAGTATACATTGTACATATATTTTACATCACATATAATATAATATATATATATATATATGTATATTTACATATGGTATACATATATTGGTAATAGTGGTATATAAGTCCCAGAACCACATATATATATGTATAAATATGTATATATATATATATACGTATATATATATAATATAATATATATATATACATCGCAGAACCATAGTGATAATTGGATTGTATTTCTGATGGTAACAGATCATCTAACGTCGTTTTCCGTCACAAACTCATGATCGGGCCAGGGGAATCATCCCCATAGCTGGCCGCAAGTTTCAGTTTTTATATGTCATTGAATGGTGATTTAATGATGATTTAATGATTCAACAATGGGTTAACAATGGTGAATAATGGAATGAGATGGGATTACCCTCTGGTTATGTCAAAATAGCTATTGAACATGGTCATAGAAATAGTGGATTTACCTATTGAAAATGGTGATTTTTCCATAGTTATGGGACAGTTTACCAGAGGGTATTATCAGTTTATCAGGTTAGTGCATTATTGTAATCCCTTCCCCTTAATATTAAACATTCCCTAAACGAAACATGGTTTGGTAGGGAATTTCCACATTCCATTGGGACCATGCAATTGGAGTGTTTAATATTAGGGTGATGGGATTAATTCAGCCAGCTGGGCTTGGACCAAGGTCGAAACGGCTCCACCTTGGTGTCATCCAGATGGGTCAACTAACCAATTCACCATAAGTTAAGATAGTTACCCTTTGGTAATTTAACATATAGCTATGGAAAATCCCACATTTTGTAGTGGGTAAATCAACTATCAATAGCCATGTTCAATAGCTATGTTATATTACCAAAGGGTTTCTGTGGGTAGTTTTTTCGTAAAAGCCATAGCGGAACTTGGTAAACTTTTGAAGTTGTTTGAGGTTCGTTTGCAACAGAAAATACGAGAGACTTAAACATCAAACATATTGGGTAAATCGCGGCTGGCTGGGTAGTTTAGTATTTGATCTGTTTTGATACCAGAGGGGATGAAGTAACCAGCTCCCAGTTCTGAAGAAACGTAGGCTATCTAGTGGTATAGTTCAAGTCTCTTCAAACCCCGGGGAGCACGGATTTGGTACATTTTCAGGATGAACTTGTATAGCCAATGCAAATTTCACTCCAAATATTTTTAGTGTGAAAGAAAAAGTGTTGAGAGAAGCAAGCATTGTTGGACATATACTTAATTGGTTTATACCTTGAAAGTTCCAATCTCTCGGAATAATGACATCAGCCCAGTCAGGATCAGTTTTAAATTAAACTTGCAAATTATGACCGGTGTGTTTGAACCGCCTTTTTCTATGTTACCTAGCAAGACTCAGGACTGCTCTAAGCCCAGACAAACCCAGGTTGGCAGCTGGGGGCTCAATCACCAGGTTGCCAGGTTGCCAGGTTCCGTGCCCCCCTGTATGGACACGGTACATCACGGTACCACAAAGCCTAGTTATTGGTTACTAACTTAGCCAACAGATATGGGCACTACAATTTGATTATCCCAAAAATAAACATATGTAAAATCTAAACTACATAATCTACATATATAGATTGATCATTGAATTGATGACCCATCTCATCACAGAAACCAGTTTTTCGGAAGGTGGTTTTTAAATCGTCAACCTTTTTGGAGGCGGCGCAAGCTTTTGGAGGAGCTCCAGCACGTGCAGCTTCACCCGCAGATCGGCGGTATGAGGCCAGCCGGCGCGGGCCGGGGCATCACCGAAACGGCTTAAGCGCCGTTCAGTTGAAAGAATGGGGAAGCGTTATAGAAATCATGTTTCACTGGATTGGTTTAAGGGAAAATCTACAGGAAACCATGGTTTTTACCATCAAATATAGGACTTTCCTGTAAATTTTCCCATAATCCAATTCTATGAATGTTTGTTCTCGGTTGTGGGGAAATGCTCCATCTTGATCCTGCTGATAAGGGATTTTTGCCGTGGATGGACACACCGCACCTGATACTGATGGTTGTTCCTCATGATTTGTTCGTTCACATTCAACATACCTGAACTGATGATACAGATTGTTGTTCTGCATGATTTGTTTGTTCACATTAAACATTAATTAACATGGCATGATTTACATGGGGACGTAGTAATATAGACGTTACACAATTTTCCCAGTATATCGCCATTATCATTGATGGTTGGTTTAATCATGGATCGTGTGAAAAATCCTTGTTATATCCCTATATTTCCATGATATCCCCATTATATCTCTGTATCTCAATCATATCATTATATTCTCATTACCTTCTGGTAATCAAGCATGGCAGTGGAAAATTCGCCATCTACAGATGATTTTTCCTGCTATAACCCTTCATTTTTCATGGGATTTTCCAGCTTCCACCGGAGGGCAAATGTCACTAAGTGTATATTCCCTACTTGGGTATTGTTGGTTATATCATGTTATATCTTCAATTGGAATAATTGGATGATATACAATTACACTCCAGTTAAACCAACAGTTCGATGTGGAAAAACCATCATTCATAAATCATTTTCCGAACGGGAAACCATGGGTTGTCCACATCTTTTTGTAAACGTTTACCCTAGGGTACAGTTATGGCCCTTTTACCAGTTATAAGTACTATCAAACCCCATTTATAGAGTGTATAATTTCATAGAAATAAGAAGTTACAACTAATAGCCATGGCCATTCGCCTGTAGCCTGTAGCTAGTAAACATGCTCATGTTCCAGAACCTTTTCGGAACGAGGCTGTGAATGGCGCTGTGAGTGGAGTCCATGGAGTCCATCAAGGGCGGCACGGCGAGGTGCGCGAGAATTCTGCTGGTTGCTTCGTTTGATAAAGTTGCTGGTTGGTGGTTTGGAACATAGCCTTTATTTTCTATAATTAATATGGGATGTCATCCTTCCCAACTGACGAACTCATATTTTTCAGATGGGTGGGTTGAAACCACCAACCAGAGCTGGATTTGAGATGTTTTAAGATGTTTTAAACATGAACATGGTGGTTGAACATGGTTTAATTCAGGTGTAAGATGGTTTAATACAAATTATACCATTCTGACATGGGGATTTAAGTAGCTGCAGAATATCAAAGACCCCACTTCTTTTCGAGACATCAAAGAAGATAAATAGATGTAACACTGGCCATGGTCTTGTTTGAGAGTCGTATTGAATATTCAATGCGGCAGGGGGTACTTGTTTTACCTGCACCTTGGCATGAAACACCAAATTGCGACTTTTAATCAACAAACTATGGCTGGTTGGTGCTTTGGAACATTGCTTTTCATTTTCCATTCAGTTGGGAATGTCATCATCCCAACTGACGAGTTCTCCATCATTTTTCAGGGGGGTAGGTCAGGGGTCACCCTTAAACACTGGCCAGGCCATGACGGCTGTCATGGCTGGAAATTTCCAGTTGTGAAATCCTGTACGAGGTCAATGTTTACATAAAATATCATGACATATATTGTGATGAATGAACATATATATATATACACACAGTGTATATATATACAGTATATATATATATTATTTATATATATATATATATATGCATAACGTATATGTACACACTCAAAGTTGAACTATGTAGAGTTGTGGAATATGATGGAATATGATGGCACACTTCTTTGTATACACAAACCCCAGTCATTCTCCCTTATACGAAGCACCAACTTCAGCTGCACATGCCAATGGCCCAGCATGCCCGGCCCTGAACAACACGAGGCACCGGCGCAGCCTTTTGCGGGAGCCCGCGCGCCCTCGCCCGCCTCGCGATATGAGGCGGAAGATGCGTCGATGCGGCCGCGAATCGTAACTCGTTAGGGTCACTATGGTGTGCGTGGGATCATCATCATCCACGGAACTTGCTAACATGCTTCTTCACCAGATCCACCAAGTACATTAAGTACATCCAAGATCCCCGTTGACATTTCCCATTTAAAATGGTAGGCCTTGGGCC